TGTCTCAGCGTCTCTGTGGCGTCCAGGTGATCGGGTGTGGGAGACTTCGGGGCCAAGTGCTGTTGCTATTGGGGCAACAAGGAACGGCTTGGCAGTCCTGGAGTTGAGGTTATAATTGCACCCCCGAATCAGCAGACATGGAAATGCACAGACAGAGTCGTTTCGGAAGACTGCTTTTGTTTTTAGAAAGGAAGCTACAGTGTACTTTCACGTTAGTTGGTGGGAGGGTAGATGTGATTTTTCCACCCAGGTGCTGCGGAGCGAAACTAAGTGTTCAGGAGGACATGTTGTGTCCGACAAACATTGAGCAGCGTCCCCGGTGTGTGATCTTTATTTGGAAGGACGCCGAGAGTGGCAGGAACTATGAGGAAGCCTTGAAATTTGAGACGAGCTTGAGGTTTCAAGTATGTACGTGCCGATGATGAAAACTGGAGGTGTCAGGTGTCGATTCATCAGCAACCTTTGGTCAGTGGACATGGATGAATATTGCAGCAACCAGTGCAGCTTCCAATGTAATTTCCACCTTGGAGTTTGGATAGATTACAGCGACCTCACCAGAGGGCAAATCGATCTCATCGACCCTTGAATGGGTTTTCGGGGTTCGGCGAGAGGCAAGGAGTAACCAAGAGGGGGATCCCTATTTAAGATTCGCTGCATTTGTGTCTGTGTTGTTTGAGGGTACTCTTTTTGGGTTTCAAGAGGGAAAAACATGGACAACCCACCCATGTTCGTGGGGCCGAATTTCTCGTTGAACACCCCAAACCATTTCGCAGGAGGCCACCGTGGCAGTGCGGAAGGTGACCACGCGGGGAGCCAAAGACGCCCCGCCACCCGAATCCTATCACCCACACCCCAGCACCCCAGGACCCTAGCCGCCCAGGAAAAGCCAACTAACCGCACAACCCTCTAAGCCCTAAACCGCGCCCAAATAGCCAAACCAACCGCCCAAGCTTCTTATCTCACCTAAACCAATCCTAAAGCAGCCCCAAGTAAACAATAGAACACCTAAACTAACCCAGAACCACCTCAACCAACCCCATTAACCAGCCTTAACCAACCCTAAACCAACCCTAAACCCACCCACACCAATTCTACGGATCAGTTTGTCTTGGGCCTCTTCCCACCAGGGCTCAGTGAGGAGTCAGAAGCATAACATGAGCAACACCAAGCGTCCTTCAAAGGTCTAGACGTGTTCCAAACATTTTGCAGAGGGCCTTCCCGGCCTGAAGCCCTGCTCGACAGAGGTTGTTTGGTTGACAAATCTCACTCATAGTTCTCGCGGGTTCACTTTGTTATTGCAAGCTGTTGGGTTATTCACCATGTCGCAAGCAAGCGTGTTTTTTTAGGGGAAAAGAGCATTACAAGCAGCCAGGTAGCATCTGATGCCAGGCTTGGCCAGGCCGTTGAGTTGACAAAGAGGGTGCTGCCTCAATCATTTGGAGAGTCTGTTGTTGGAGCAACTCGGCCCGTGATTCAACTAGAATGGACTGGGGAGAGGGGCCCGCGGGTGTGGCTTCAACTCGGCAAGTCACAATTATTGAATACCTTTCGGTGGACAAAGGGCTTCCCCCAACCATCTTAGTTATTTGTTCGAAACGGGCTGCCTCCAGACATTCCAAAGCTGCGACCAATTCTTCAACCTTGTGCCGTGGTTAGCTCGAGCCAGAGGTTCTTCAACAACAAGATCAAGGAGCTGGAGAAGCACACCACCGGCCCCCTGTCCACGGCCGGATGCCAACAGACTTCCGGGAGTGTGGTTGGGTTGGGAAAAAGCACAAGCGCCTAGGGCGTGACAAACGCTGCCATTCACGTGGCCGCCATACTTAGCTGTTGAGTTGGCAAGATTGTATCATCTCGTTGGTAGATGTCTCATCATGTTAGTCAAGGCCCAAGGAGTTTGAACTGTTTGTTGCCAGTCAACTCAGCTGGTTTGCATAGGACACCAGCGTTTGTCGCTTGTTAGATCTTTGGGTTTGGATGATGGCTTTCCCTGGTCACCTATACCGGTATAGGCTGCTGGTGCGTTGTTTTGATCTTGTGCATAGTGGTTCCTTTAGGTACCTGCTACTAGAGTGGAAACCGGAAGCATGGGGTGGCATGAGCTCTTCCCATATTTTCCCACGAGGACCAGATGAAGTATCCGCCACATATCAGCAACTTACATTGTTCCTTGCTCATACAGTATACAGGTCTGTCTCTAATGGACCCCCATAAAAAAAAAAAAAAGAAGAGGGTGTCCGTTTGGTTTCCGTTCAGGCGGATACCTCAAAGATAGACACACTAATATCTTAAGCGCGTTTCTGTCATCCTGTTGCGCAGAGCTCCTCCGATGGCTACGCGCTTGCTCTTAAAATTAGTTTGGACTTTACTTGCTGACCCAATGTTTTCCTGAATGGAAGAAGCACCTCAAGGTCACTGGTTTTCCCCGCGCTTGGAGTAGCCCCTAGCCTATCCGGTCTCCTTGGACCCTGGCCAGTAGGAGTCGGGGTGGCACCCTTTAACCTTGTTTCAACAAGTTGTGGTAAGAATTTGATATTTCCTTGTTTTTCTTGACAATCGAAATGGTGATGCGGGGCTAGAACTGGGATTAGCATTGGCAACATTTAACTTATTGGCAATACATATATACAGTACTGGCAATAGTATTAGCAATAGCTTTGCCAGTTCAACATCGCTCTGATTGGGACGGCTGAAATTGAGCTGGGTTGGAGGTGCAGCTTGGTAAGACCTTTGTGCTAGTATTAGATGGTAGTGCGGAAGCTCACAAGGACAGTCCTGTTTTGCGAAGTATTTATGCGCGATGAACATTGACAAGAGCCTTTCTCCATTCGTCCGAGGTTAGAAGGGTTGGCCTCCAGCAACAGCTAGCAGCTAGCAAAGCACTCGCAAACACACACACACCCACCCACCCACCCACCCACGCACGCACGCGCGCGCGCCCGCCCGCCCGCCCGCCCGCCCGCCCGCCCGCCCGCCCGCCCGCTCGCACACACACACACACGTATTAGCAATAGCTTTGCCAGTTCAACATCGCTCTGATTGGGACGGCTGAAATTGAGCTGGGTTGGAGGTGCAGCTTGGTAAGACCTTTGTGCTAGTATTAGATGGTAGTGCGGAAGCTCACAAGGACAGTCCTGTTTTGCGAAGTATTTATGCGCGATGAACATTGACAAGAGCCTTTCTCCATTCGTCCGAGGTTAGAAGGGTTGGCCTCCAGCAACAGCTAGCAGCTAGCAAAGCACTCGCAAACACACACACACCCACCCACCCACCCACCCACGCACGCACGCGCGCGCGCCCGCCCGCCCGCCCGCCCGCCCGCCCGCCCGCCCGCCCGCCCGCCCACACACACACACACACCCACACACCCACACACCCACACACACCCACACACCCACACGCACCCACACGCACGCACGCGCGCACGCACGCACGCACGCACACGCACGCGCATACGCACGCACGCACGCGCACGCGCACGCGCGCACGCGCACGCGCCGCGCCCGCGCGCGCCGCGGGCCCGCGCCCGGCGCACACGCGCACGCACGCACGCACGCACACGCACGCAGGCACGCACGCGCATAGCGCACGCACAACCGCGTTGACGCGTGATGCGATGACGACGGCGCGTCCGCCGCTCGCGCGGCCGGCAAAAGCGTTGGAGGTGAAAAACCAATTCGCCTTCGCCGCCATGATATTCCATCCATCCACGACGCGTTCCCCATGTGATCCATGCCATTCGACGTGTTCCACCACGTCCATCATTCATCGCCATCGCCAGCGCCATTCCGCCATTCGCCTTCGATCGGTCGATGCTGTCGATGCGTCCGACGCGCGTCCCTGCGATCCCGTGCGATCCCGTGCGATCATCACGTCGCGTCGACGCGACCGTGCGACCCGTGCGACCGCGCGTTCCATGCGTGTGTGTGCCGCGTTCAACGGCGATCCGTGCGTCGCGGTCCCCGCCGATCTGCGTGGTCCAATCCCTTGCCCGAGTGAAAGGGTGCGTTGACCCCAGTTGGGCGTCGTCTCCTGAAGAAGATCTTGGTAATCGTGACGGCGGCGGCACGGCCAGCGGCGGCAACGGTGGTGCGTGGCGGCGCGTGGCGCGTGGGCGCGGCAGCGGCGTGCCACAACGGCGGCGGCGTGCGGCGGCGGCAGCGCGCGCGCCGCGGCCATCCGCGCGCGCGCGTCCGCGGCGGGGCGACCACGCGCGCGTGCGGCGCGTGCCGACCAGCCGCGTGGTCGCGGCGCGCGTGCGCGCGCGCGTCCGCGCCGCGGCGACCGCGCGCGTGCGCGCCCGCGTGCGCGCGCTGGCGACCAACCCGCGCTGGCGTCCGCGGCGGCGCGGCGCCCGCGCGCGTGGCGTTGCCGTGCGCGCGTCCGCGCGCGCGCGTCCGCGACGCGGCGCGACACGGCCCGCACCGCCGCGGTCGCGTTCAGCTCTGAGGCGGACGGGGAGAGCCTCGGATTTTTCACGCGTGACGCGCGGCGCGCGCGCGTGTCGCAGCGTCTTGTGTCTTGTGCTGTTGATATGGCGCGCGACCTTGTGTTGCGTATCATGACCATGCTGTTGTGACCATCGCCTTCCAGCACAGCAGCGCGGCAGCAGCATAGCGGCAACGCGCCGCGACCTTGGTGTGTGATGCGCGGCGTCGCCGTATTGTGACGTGTGTGCTGCGCTGGCGGCGCGCTGGCGTGGCGACCAGCGTGCTGGCGCGCGCGTGGCGCGCGCGGCAGCATTGGCTGCCGCGCGCTTGCGCTTGCGCGCGCGGCGGCGCGCGCGCGCGCGCGCGCGCGCGCTTGCTGGCGGCGCGGCGCGCGCGCGCGGCGCGCGCGCGCGCGCGCGCGCGCGCGCGGCGCGCGCGCGCGCGCGCGCGCGCGCTTCGCGCGCTGGCGACGCGTGGCGTGGCGTGGCGTGTGGCGTGGCGTGGCGGCGCGTGGCGCGCTTGCGCGCGCGCGCGCGCGCGCGCGCGCGCGGCGCGGCCGGCGGTCGCGCCATGGCGGCGGCGGCATGTGCTGCGGCGCGCGCGTCGCGGCGCGCGTACGCGCGCGTACGCGCGCGGCCGCGGCGGCGCGCGACAGGCTGGCGCGTGCGCGGCGGCGGCGTGACGATGACGGCGAGCGACAATGACGAATGACCGACCTTGCGCACGCACGCGATGACGCGCCGCGCGCAAACTGACGCGCGCGCAGGCGGCGCGCGCGCACGCGATGAGCGCGCGCGCGCACGCCCGCGCGCGCCCGCACGCGCCCGCACGCACGCCCGCACGCGCCGCGCACCGCGCCGCGCCACGCGCGCGCGCTTGCGCGCGCGCGCGCGCGCCACCACGCGCGGCCACACCTGGCGTACGCGCATCCGCGCAGCTACGGCCAGCCACCTCACGCCCCACGCCCACACACGCCCACACACGCCCACACACGCCCACACACGCGCACACACGCACACACACGCACACGCGCACACACGCCCACACGCGCACACGCACACACGCACACACGCACACACGCACCCACGCACACACGCACACACGCACACCGCACACCGCACACCGCACACCACACACCACACACCACACACCACACACCACACACCACACACCACACACCACACACCACACACCACACACCACACACCACACACCACACACCACACACCACACAACACGCACCACACACCACACACCACACACCACACAACACACAACACGCAACACGCAACACGCAACACACAACACACAACACACAACACACAACACACAACACACAACACACAACACACAACACACAACACACAACACACAACACACACACACACCGCTCGACAATGTCGGTTGATCGAACAAGAAAGCCTTGCTTTCTTGCGACCGTTGCCTGTTTGCCTTCGCCAGGCGCGGGCGGACTTGTCCAAGCTTCGGCCTAAGGCGGGCGTGGGATGAGGGGTGGGTGAAATTTGGCGCTAGGCCGTGACACTGGGGCCCTTCTTGGTTGATGTCAGTACATACAATAGGAAACCAGGGCTTAGACGGCTTAAACCAACGATTTAAACAAATCAGGTAGATTGTTGGCAACGAACGTCCGCACGTTGCGGGCAAACACTCAAAGCCGCCAAAGGCCTACACACGCAAACATGGCAAACAAGACAAAAAGCTCGCTCGATCAAACCTTGACCCACTTGCAAACTCCGATCTTCCAGATCTTTACGACATTGTTTGAGATGGGTTCCCTTGCACATTCGAAGGTGCTGCTGGAGAATGGAAACCAAGGGATGGGTGTTGGAACGGCCATGTCAAGCAAAGATGGGTGCAAGCGCCGGTCAAAACCTTTCCAGAACGAACTCTCTAATCTACCTGCCCATGAACCTGATTACAAAGCTTCACCTTCAATTCCCATGTTCCTGCTTTTCATGGAAAGGCTGTCCCTCCGGTCTTGTTTGTCCTTTCTTAGGGTTGGTTTGAAGGCAGACCAGAGGGAAACCAAGAAATTGCCACTACCCTGAGGGGAAGATGGGGTTCTTCAACTTTTTGCTCTTCCAGCTACAGGCTGGTTTCACTAGTACATGATGGCTTCATAGCAGTATACAATCAACTTCCAATTTGGGGGGTGGTTGAACGATGCAACCCCCTGGATTCTGCGCGCAGGCCTCAACGCAGGGGGCGGAGGTTCAGAAGCTGAGGGGCAAGGCGGGAGCTTTCCGCGGTTGCGCTGTCCGTTTCAACAGGGGGCAGCTTGAGTGACGGGCAACCAATGGATGTTACCATCGAAATCTCCAAATCATGAGAGTATCGACATGGGAGAGGCACCAGCTTGGTGATAACATATATCCCCTGAACTAGTCAAGAATTGGATCCAAGCTTGAAGTCTGGTGTTCTTGCAAATGCTGAGTTTCATGCCAAATATTGGCAGCATACCTCTTGCAGACAAAGAGCGATCTTTTGGTTTTCCTTGCTTCAGGGATGCTTTTGACATGTCAGCCGCAATTGAAGGGTCCATTTTTCCCATTTGCCCCTGCTCCAAACATCCACGGGTTTCATTCCCCTATCAAAAGCACTGGGTGTCACTCTGGACTCGCGCTGTTTGAATGTCGGGTGCAGCGACAAGGTAAGAACCAAATCGAAGAGGCCAGCTAGGTGCCACGTGTTTCTCGTTTTCTCGGTGCCAGCGGCTAGGGATGACCCGTACTGGCCACACGGGCGTGTTCCGTTTGGTTTTCGCAGAATTTGTTGAGCCTTTCTTTGATCAGCTTAACCGTAGTTGGTGGTTTGGATTGGTGGTTTGGGGATTTGAACCCCTGGTTCTTGTAGAGTGTAAACTGGAAGCAACCCCTTAAACGTCAAACCACCAAGTAGGGAAGCTGATTTGAGTGGGCTCCGATTCCAAAGTCAACCAATAATGAAGGGAAAGCCTTCGGCAGTGAGGATTCATCAAGCCGCTCCAGATATAGATCAGAGATGTTTCTCCTTCCCAAAGCCGCGGCCCTTCGATTCGTGGCTCATTTGAGGTGAACAACGCCAAGAAGGAGTTCGCCAAGGTGGAGGCGGCCGAGAAGACCGCCCACCTGGAGGCGGGAGCGAGTTGGTCGGTCGGGTGGACGTGGGGTGACTCGGGGCGATGTGGCACTCAGGGTGACTCAGCTCCTTTTGCAGGCAAAGGAAGCTCTCAGACATGGTTCCCCCTGAATGTCAAGCTGGTCCCCTCAACACAAGAGGCGGGGATTCAATGAACCAGGCCAGGGTGACCGACCATAGCCAGCGTGGATGCGGGAGAAACTGTTGTTTTAACGGTTTCCCGTTCTGGGATGTTGAAGAATCCGGCATTTGCAAGTGATACAGTAGTCAGATGGAAATCCCCCGCTTTGGTTTCACGGAAAGGGTGAGTGCTCATAGTCATGATGGCGTAGCTGGGTGTGTCCTAAAAAAGGAAGCAGACCAGCCCCCCTGTCATTTCTCTGCGCCCCTCATTTCACTAGGTTCTGTTTGGTTTCTCTTTCACTGGTGGAATCTATTTCTAACTCCAAAATTTCCTACGGGGACCCAGGCTGTGCCTTTTGGCATTTTGAAGGGTGGAAAGACGCGACAATCCTTTCAAAGGGCCCCTCCATCCCTCGATAAACCAACCAACTGGCGCAGGGTGTTGTCAATCCACTATTGACACTATTGGCCAAGGTGGAGGCCTCCAAGGTGGAGGCGGCCTTGCCAATCTCCCAACCATCCCCCGAACCTCCAAGCCTCCGAACCTCCGAACCTCCGAACCTCCGAACCTCCGACCCCCAACCTTCAACCCCCGTCGTCCCTCCCCGCCTTCCCATCGAGGCCAAGGAGCGTCGGGAGGCGGCGGCCATCCTCAAAACCGCTACCGCCGAGCTGGAGCCGGTGGAGGCGCCTGATTCGCTCGGAAGCCTCGGTGCATGTGAGGCAACCCGGGAGCCAGTCCGCTTCGCAGCAGCTGGGATAAACCAACCAACTGGCGCAGGGTGTTGTCAATCCACTATTGACACTATTGGGAGCTGCAGAGTGCTGCATCAGTGGTAGGTGTTTGGGTTTGTCGAGGCTCGGAACCCGTTTCAGGTTGAAGCCAAAGCAAAAACACCCACAAAATAGGTCGATTTTGACACGTGCCCGGGTTTGTCTCCAAATTGGCTTTCCCTTAGTAAGGTTGCCTTTTAGTTCTGTTGCTTTTGGTTTCCTTTTGGTTTTCCTTTTGGTTTTCCTTTTGGTTTTTGCTATCTTGGGTCCATTTGGTCCACGTAGTTTGTTGAATTCCCTTTTTTCCAAGCTTCGTTTTGAGGCACCTGGCAAGGTTGGGCTATGTTGTTCTGTGCTTAATACGTCCCTGCCCGGATCGGAGCTTGTTTCTGCGGGCCGGGCCATGGGAGCCAGGCCCAGTGCGCGAAGATCACGGACTCGGCCGCCGAGCTGTTGGCGGCGAAGGCGGATGGCCACCGCGTGCGCGTCCGTGGGGGGGGGGGGGATGAGACGACGACGACGGGTGGTTCGGGGACATTGTTTTAGGGTGTATGGTTTGGTGGCTTCTTATGGTGGCCCCGTTTTGGCATGGTTTCAGAGGTCCATGTCCGGCCAAGTTGTGCACTTTGTTGCTTCAACCCTGCTATTGAGGCTGGTGTGCCGTGCTGCCTTCAAAACAGCTGGCCCCCTGGTGAAGCCAGAGACTCTTTTGAAGCCGCATCCAAAGGAAATCACTATGAAGCTGACGGTGCCAGACCAGTCTTGAGATATTTGGGAGGGCGATTCCTAGCTTGAAGGAGCATGAAGCAGCACACCCAGTGCATTCCGTCAGAAGCCCGACACGGAAGTGAGCACAGTTCAGGCTGTGGTTGGACCACGTCAGGTTTGAGGCTTGGTATGCCTTGCCACGTCAACAGTTTTCAAAATGAGATCCTTTTTCCATTAGGTCTTTGTCGTTTTCTTTCCTTCCATTGGCCAAATTGGAGTGAGACCGTTGCCTCTCATGCGACCGAGCCTTCCAGCTAGCCCAGCCTCCAGGGCGAGGACCTGCAGAAGTTTGCCACTCCGTGCACTGTCTTGGAGGTGGGCTCCGGGGTGTGAGGATGCAGGGTAGCAGATCAATGGATGCGCTGAAGACGACGCATTCAGCCATGAGTGGCAAACAAGGTAATGGCGTACGTAATTGCATTGAGACACCACGAGTCGTTTACGCATTATCTAAACAACATATATACATATCGAGAGAGAGATACCCAAACGCACAGAAGCCCTTGTTTCCCTTTTGTGCAACGTCAAATCGGCGGGGATAGCTCGCACTTGTGGTTGAATTCACGTTCAAAGAGTGGAAGGGTGCACCAATGTTTTTCAGCGCTTCTGCCAGCAGCTGTTTTTCTCCGGGCAGCCTTTGCCTAGCCTGGTCGAAGCAGTATTTCTAGTAGCAATCACAAGGTACGGGAAAGGATTTTGCAGCGCTGGTCAGGGTTGTTTGTTTTAAAGACCAGACATGGCATTTGAGTGACATTGCACCTCACGCAGTGAACTGACTGTTCCCAAAGTCTGATTGATGGGAGTACTTTTATATCTAGCTGCCATTAATGTATTTAAGTATGTGTAGTTGGACACGTAGTTCCCAAACTTGGCTGTAGCTCTGGATCTATTCTTACTGCCTGATCAAGGGCCTATGATAGGCTCACTGTGCTCCCCTGCCCTTCTCTGGCCATTGCCTAGCTCTCGCTGACACTCTGCAGGACGACGGCGTTTTTGCAATTGCTAAGTTGGTGACTACTTTGAGTGTCGGAAGATGTGTTGGGGTCAAAAGAGTACTGTAAACTTTTGGGACTAGACTGACAAAGCTTTCGTGTCAAGGGCTCGCCAGTCATAGTTGTTCGAAGGGCTAAGCAGTGCCAAGCAAGCAGTTGGTCCACGTGTATTGGCCAATGTTTTATTGTGAGTGAGCTGCAGCACAGAAGTGCACTCGCCTCTCGTGCACTTCGGCATTGACTCGCGCATGCCAACTGGATTTGAACGGAAACTGTGAGCCTGGCTTTTGGCAGATGGAACTGGTCCTGAAGGGAGGCAGGTGATTTGGGGGGGGGGATTCCTTTTGGTTTCCCTTTGAACAGCACGCCCCAAAGAGGGTACCCTCAAACAAGACAGGCCGCTCGCTCTCGGCCAGGGGGTGGAGAAGTCGGTCCTGGAGGCGGCCTCTGCCCTCTCGAAGGCCATGGGAGCGCTCGGACACCGCGGCGAGAGTGTGAGGGGCCTGTTGCAGCTGAGGTTCCTTTTGGCGTAAACATCCAAAAAGGGGAACCCGGGATTTTGAGAAACACCCATCATGGGGTATGTGTTGATGTAGGAGAACCCTCAAAGGGCGGTTTTTGTTTCCCTTTAAACCACCCCCAAAGAGGCTGAAAGGTATGGATTTGGATCAACATGTGTTTTAGACTCCTCCTATTTCACCACGCAATACCAGGAATCAATTTGGAGTTCCCTTGATGCAGGAAAAGCTGGATTGCTTGCCCTTTGGACTGCAAGGAAAGCAAGCAACCCAAATCGTTTGTGCGGCCGGTCAGGTAAATTATTTATTTCATCCAAAGAGAATCAACCCTTTGACCCTTGATTCCTTCGTCCGCGCGCATCGGATGTGTGCAGGTGAAGGCATCTTTGACAGAGGAGACCAAGAAGATCAAGGCGGGAAGTGCGACCAGAGTGGCCCGGAAATCGCAGAGCCTCCAACATGGCCCCAGTCTGTTGGTTTCCCTGCAAACACACACGCGCACATACACACACACACACCCAAAAAGCTCTTGATTTGGACTGCTTTTCTTCCGCGATAATACACTTGTGACAAAGAAGCAGTCACCGGAGTGGCCCGATTTGGTTTTTCAGACAAGGTTGTATCAACCATCATGTGGGGGACACAACTGACAATTCTTCACAGAATGTGTTTATCTGCTTACATGAGCCAACAAGCAGTTCTGATCAAACTGAGCAAGTTAATAGGCAGATTGGAAGGCAGCAAAATTGCTTGCATGAAGCAGTGTTTGATTCTGAGGCTTGCTCCTGGAAGATTTGGCAACGACAACGGCTCATTCTGCTCGATAGGTCTTTCTGCCCAACTGGCTTTGGGGGAGCTGGAAACTGTTGCCATACGCAGGCAACCAAGGGCCCTCTGATGGAGGCGCGTGCGCATCCGCTGCCCGGCTGTGCCGGTTTGGTGGACAGACTTGGCTGATTGCACTGTCTTATGCTGAGACTCTCAGGACAACGGTCCTATCCTTGCCAGACAGACTTTTGCCTTTTGGCCGTGCGCATGACAGTCTGCCATTGACTGGCAAGCATTTGGATGATCTTGGCTGCTTGGGTATTTTCCGTTTGGTCAAGTTTGCGGAAGCCCCATAGAAGGCGGTGTGCCTCATTCTTATTGGAGAGTGAGTGTGAACGGCTCGCCTGCTTTTCTGGACATGCCTCTGAATTCTGAATCGTTTTTTCAAACTTGGCTGGGCTTGCGGGCCTCCCTGATGCATGTCTTTCGTAGGTCCACGTTTGGCAACATGTGATGTCTTTGGTGGCTTTCAGTAGAGCTCTTGCAATTCAACACCCATACATTCATATATACATCTTCTGTTTGACAGTTCTTTTGGACAAATGACAAAGTTTCACCCGGCAACCAAACAGAGGAGAGCCATGACTATGGGAGTCTGACATATTTATACACCCCCCTACTCCCCAGAAAGGTTCTTCCATAAGACCCTACTTAGGATTGGGGCCGGAGGCCTGACGTCTTCACCCTAATTCAGTTCGCATTCGAGAGATCACCAATCGCCCGTCAGGCCAAGAAGGAGCTGGCCAAGCTCAACACTAAGGCACAGACTCGATTCCTCAGACTACAAATCCAACCAGTTTTGTTGTAAACACCTTTTGCAACATAGTTTGCAGTGGAATTCCTAGTTGTAGGTGGCATTGCCAATTGCTCCCGGAAGTCCAGTCGGTGCTCTACTACCAAGCTCGAGAGGACAGATGTGAGATTTGCATTTCCACTTCTGTGATACCAATGGAAGGCCTTCCAAATGGCTAACTCTCCAATTGAAGGGAAGGCGTCTTGGTAGCAGGGGAACCCAGTCCTCATTCCCACAACCCTGGCCCCTTTGGTTTCAGCCATAGGCATTGGCTCGGCGCATTGGGGGTGAGAAGGCCTGGGCCCTTCAAATCCATATCCAATAGCACTTTCGCTTCCCATTGTTTTATTTTGCTCAAGACGCCTCTACTTTTCCCAGTCAGGTAGCGTGCGGGCGAGAGAGCTTAGAGTGTTTGGGCAATGTTTTCCCACCGACCACGTGGCTGGTCCGATTCTTGGTCAAACAAGTGTCGAGAGGCAAAGGATGAACCCCGGGCTATGCAGAGGGCGTGTCAGCCACTGGCAGGCAGATAGCCTTATGAAGAAGAACAATGCGACTCTCCAGGCGCGGGTCTCAAACACTCGCTTGCCTGACTGGTGTGGTTGGTCGAAGTATGGTTTGGGCCAAAGCGGTCAAGGGTAGTAGTGGCTGGCAGCACTCTTCAGCCAAAGGATCTAATACCGCGAGTTGTAAGGATTATTGCCAAGCTGTATAGTATTGACATGTTGAATCATGTTGTTGTGTCGGACATAACAGTTCTCATGTATATAACGAACAAGGAATGGCGGTACGCATGGTACCAACTGATTTGACTGTTGGGTACGAGTCAAAATAAGGGACGCTTGCAAATGGTTGGTTATGTTTGTGTCCTTGAATATTCAAGAAATGACAGCACCACGTGTTGCCTGCTTCTGACACCTCCCCACATGTTGTTTCTCCGCAGGGCCGACATCAGATGGAAGCAAACGGGACCGGGATGCTGAATTTGATGCAGATCACCCTCAAAGCTCCATGCTCATAAGTACATTTGCACAAATTGTGGCAAGCTTATGTACGTGGTTCAACACCCCAGGCCCCAGGAAGCTGACAACTCTTAGTGGTGCTTTTTTGGGACCATGCAACCTTGGGAAACCTTCCCATCACTGACCCCTTTGGCAAATTTGACCACTGTGCTTTGTACTTTCATAGAGTTTAGCAATAGGACAGTTTCTGAGATCTCAAAGTCTTTGGATTCAAGCGCTTACAGAAGAACCTTTTTCACTGTCCAGGATGTTGTTGTTGCTTCTTTGTCTGCAGGTTGCACCCAGCCCCCCCCTCACTCAATTTAGAACCGAGCGAGCACCGGTCAAAATGCATCCGTCATATACTGTGTTGGGAATGTCATTGGGTACAGCAACTTGCGAATAGGAACTGGGAGTGAAGCTTCACCTAGTTCCCCTGTCAGCCAAGAGCAGCATGGAGATTGACCGGAGTTCATGTCAAAGTGCTTGTTTGCTTGCGTGCTTGCTTCTGCTTGCTGGCATGCTTGCTTTTGCTTGCTTGCTTTTGTTGACTTGTTTGTTTGCTTGTTTGCTTGCTGCCCTGTTTGCTTGTTTGTTTGATTGTTTGATTGCTTGCTTGTCTGTTTGCTTGCTTGTTTGGTTGTTTCTTTGCTTGTTTGCTTGTTTGCTTGCTTGCTTGTTTGCTGTTGCTTGTTTGTTTGATTGTTTGATTGCTTGCTTGTCTGTTTGCTTGCTTGTTTGGATGTTTGTTTGCTTGTTTGTTTGTTTGTTTGTTTGTTTGTTTGTTTGGTTGGTTCGTTCGTTTGTTTGTTTGGTTCGTTTGTTCGTTTGTTTGTTTGTTTGCTTGCTTGCTGTTGCTTGCAAGCTTTTGCTTGCTTGCTTGCTTTTGCTGGCTTGTTTGTTTGTTTGTTTGCTTGTTTGTTTGTTTGTTTGTTTGTTTGCTTGTTTGTTGTTTGTTTGCTTGCTTGCTTGCTTGCTGACTGGCGTGCTTGCTTGCTTGCTTGCTTGCTTGCTTGCTTGCTTGCTTGCTTGCTTGCTTGCTTGCTTGCTTGCTTGCTTGCTTGCTTATGTGCCTTGGTTTGTTGTTTGTTTGTTTGATTGTTTGTCTGTTTGGTTTGCTTGCTTGCTTGCTCGCTGGCTCGCTCGCTCGCTCGCTTGCTTGTGCTTGGTGTGTTTGTTTGCTTGCCTGCCTGCCTGCTTGCTTGCTTACTTTTGCATACTTTTGCTTGCTTGCTTGCTTGCTTGCTTGTTTGTTTGTTTGTTTGTTTGTTTGTTTGTTTGTTTGTTTTGCTTGCTTGAGCGGGCACAAGGTGCTGCAAAAGCTTGCACAATGACTTACCTGAGGGAGGTGGTAAGCCATTGGCGGAGGAACCAGATTTTGCCCACAGCTTGGATGCCACTGGAAAGGCACCTTCTTATCCAAATGTCTGAACTGTCATCCGTGTCCATCCACTTATTCTTGGCTGTAATGTCGATACCAGGAGTGGAGATATGGCTGCTTTGGAAACGTAGTCTTTGCGATATGATTCCAAGTGTTTTCTGCACTTCGAACTTATATATATATATATATTGAGCATGCCATGATGTGTATTCACGCCGCCTTCAAGCTTGGCACAAGTGATGGGTATAAGTTTAAGCATCAGCAGCCACGTTGCAGGGCATTACTTGGTTTTCCAGACAGTTGGATGAAAGAATCATGGCTAAATTTGGGTTTAGTCATCCCCTTTGCTTCCCAAGGGAATTGTGTCATCTACTTTCACCCTAGTATACCTCCTACGTTTGTCAAATAACCCCGGAAGTGTACCCTTTGCAATAGGAGTATCCTCCAAACAGATCCACCCCCAACCCGCGCGACCCGCCCAAGCCCCGCCAACCCCCAACCAACCCCCAATCCGCCCAACCCAAACTCCCCCAAACTCCCCGTCCGCCAACTCCAACCCCCCCCCAGCATCTCCCAACCCTGCCCCAAACCTCTCCGACTCCAGGCCGCGCGGGCGGCTTGCAAGACCATCTCCGAGAGCGGCGCAACCAAGGCCTCCGAGGCCCTGCGCGCCGAGGCGCGCGAAGCCGTGGGCGGAGGGAGGGGCGGAGCGGTCAAAGACGGTGCCAAAAGGAACCCACGGAAAGCCAAAACGGAACCCAAGAGGAATGAGGCTCAGTATCGTTCTTGGGGTTGATTCAAAGGGAAACCGCAAGGGCCGAAATCCATTTTGGGGGTCCGAAGCTCTTACACACAGTCCCATATCTGGGCCACTTCTGGGCAATCACTGCCCTAGGAACTGCCCAGTTCCCTTGGCTTCATACCAAGAGTCCCGTCCCAGGTGGGGTGAGGTGGGGTTCGGGTGGGTGGGGTGGTTTGTCGAACTTTCAAGTGGTGGTTTGTGTGGTTGGGGGTTTGGCTATTGACTGGGTGGTGTGTGCTTCAAGGGTTATCGTTTTTCATGTTTTTCCAATGTTTGTCAGGTCCACCCCCAATTCCAGAGTCTCCTGGAAAGGGCTAATAAACACACCCTACTCGGCCTCCTTATTCGGACCTATTAGACACTTTTCCCGCTGTTGGGATTCGGGGCCCCTTTCAAGTTTGTCGCAATCTTGTTCACACTCTTGTTAGGTTTCCATTGTTTGGTTACCCGTAAATGGGAGCAAATCCTCGAGGCCCAGGTTTTGCTGGTTTGTTTGAGTTTAGGTGTTGCATGTGGTAGTGCTAGTGAGTGCCCATTGCTCACTTCACACTTATAAACTTATAGCGCAAATACTTGTCGTTGCCAAATAAATCAGCCAGAGCACTCATGATGTTTCATGAGTTTGCTTGTTGCCTGAACCATCAAAAAAATGATAGGGGTTATGAACTGTGCTATAGCCAACAAGTTCTTGTTGCTACAGCGGAATCGAAATGGTCAGCCAGCAAAATGACAGATAGTCTCTTCCATGGCCACTCGGCATGAACGTGTGGTCACAGTGTTGTCATAGTGTGCACGTGTTTGTCCGGGAAGCTCTGCAAAGGTCTTGACAGAGAAGCGGGCCATTGGCCATGCGGATGGTGCACGCATAGAACGCCCTCACATCATGCCATCGGTTGTTTAAAGATCGCGATCACGCAGATGCACGCACGTACGCGTGCGCACACGCACGCATGCGCGCAGGCACACATGCATGCATTCATGCATGCATAAATGACGCACGCCCGCCCGAACGCCCGCCCGAACGCCCGCCCGCCCGCCCGCCCGCGCACCCGCGCGCCCGCGCGCCATTTAATCTAGCGCGCCGCCCCGCCCCGCCCGCGCGCACGCACACCACCGTGCCACCCGCACACCCCGCACCGCCACCACCGCGCCACCGCACCGCTACCGCACGACCGCCGCGCACCGCGGCGCACAAGGCACACCGCGCGCTCCACCGCTACCCAGGCAGCCCGCCGCGCGGCCGGCAGCGCGCGCGCGCCCGGCCGCACGCCGCCACCGCCCGCGGCGCGCACGCGCACGGCACGGCACGCACGGCACCGCCGCGACTCCGCCCGCCCGCCCCCGCTCGCGCCCGCCCGCCCGCCCCGCGCCGCCGCGCGCGCCACGCGCGCCGCGGCGCTTGCGCTTGCGCGTACGATTGCAAGCACGGACGCACGCACGCACGCATGCACGCACACATGCACGCACGCACACATGTAATGTTAGACCCTCTTTACACAGACCCCTCCGAATAGCTCTTTAGAGACAATCCTGAGGGTCTGGGAGGGACAGTACCGACTGTTATTTTAGTACTGCCAATTCTACTTTAGCATTGCAAGGTTGAACCTCAGATCTTCAGTACTTACTTCAGTATAGCCAATTCTACTATAGCATTGCCAAGGCTCACTCTCAGATTCCCAGTACTTACTTTAGTATTGCCAATTCTTCTATAGCATTGCCAAGGCAATGTTTGCCCTTACTTTTTTGTAAATAAGTTATCTTTGATGCTTTGGGGACCACTTCAAAAACGGAATTCCTAATGTTTGCCTGCACTTGTTTGCCCGTGTTTTGTCCGACCTTTCTTGGCCAGTGTTTGTTTGCCAGGATGTTTTCCCGGCGTACTTTCCAGAAAGAAAACTGCACAATTGAGGACCCTAAAACAGCCACAATATCCTGAATTTCGCCCCCAATTCGGGGTCTAACAGTACGCGCATGCACGCTCGCGGGAACGCATGCCCGCACGCATGCACACAAGCACGCATGCACGGACACGTGCACGCATGCACGCAAGCACCCCGAAAGGCACAGAAGCGGAGCCTCACGGCGGACGGGCTTTTTGCGGAGCTGGCGGGCGGCTCTTGGCCCCAGCCGAGTCGTGTGGGCCGCCACCTATTGAGGATTCTTACTAGGGTGGGGCATTGAGATTCATTGAAGGCCATGGAAAGATTATCCCACAAAACGCAAGAAATGGCAGGTCTGGCCGTCAAAAACCGCAAGAGGTTTGGGCTGCGCCAACAAGCCAGCAAACAACATGTCTATTGCTACTTTACTTATTGATCCTCCGGATTCAGGTGCGGATCGACTGCCGCATGAGAAGCTCGCCAAGTGCTGGGGGCTCAGTGTGAAATGCGCCTTGGTCGTGGCTCCCTTGTCAAGCCTTGTCAAGGTCCAACGAGTTTCATTGTTTCCGGCCAGTCGACTGAGGAGGTCGGTCATAGTATCTAGGGAGTTTTAACATGATGGAGAAACAATTCTAGCCGGTATCTAGGTTTTATATGAGGTATTTGCTCAGTTGATGATGAAACCCTCCACCCAGTTGCCGTCCAAGTTTTCCTCATATTTTGCCCGGCCCTGGCTACCCAGTGGCGAGAGCAAGCACCGAGCCATTTGTTTTTTCATTTGTATATTTCTTTTGGGCCTGCGGCCTCTCGCCGGCTACGCCTCTTTGAAGGGGGCCTTTGCGTTGAGCCATTGGCTTATACCATGGCATGTCATTTTATGGTGTGAAATTATACCAAGCCAAGTCATTCTTTATTGTGTGTGAACGTATCCTATGCCATGATATGTCTGGTTAGATTGTGCATTTTGCCCACTCCCGCCATCAAGATATCCCAGATGATGCTGGGATGCCAGCTTTCCGAGCCCCAGCAGGGCCCCAACCGAGTCGAATCACATGGGGTCGCTCCAGAACGACCAGCCGAAAAAGAACAGCTCGCAAGCCAGCCCGGAAACGCAAACACAACAAAAACACCGTGAATAGCAGCGGTTTGTGGCCGGGGGGGGGCATGAGCGCGCCACAAGGCCCAAAAATCAAGTGGAGCAAACAAGGACCGCCCGGCGCACGAGACAGCCACAGCAGAAGCAAAACAACCAGAACATCAGCCCAACGCGCAGCATTGCATTTTTGACGGTATTTACGGCTTTTTTAGGGCAAGGAACCAGCATCGCTGGCATTCCAGATGCAAGCAAGACTCATTGAGCAGCTAGTGAGCGCGTCTTTGTGTGTGTGTGTGGGAGGTGTAAGCAGGCTTGTTGTGTGGCAGGCTTCAAGAATTTCCTGAGACACGTTGCCCTGCCTTGCTCACGGCCCTTGTTTGCATCGCCCCGGTGAAATGTTAGGGGAACAGCTAGCAAGTTATGGATCCAGCACATCATGCAGAGCACTTGCAATGACGGAGGAATCTCGCCACTAAATTGCGTTTGATTTGAGAGGTCTCTGCTGAGTTCCTTTCCAGGCTTCTGATACACCCTGAGATATTATATCAGTGGTACCTTTTGATCCGTTTTGTTGGGTCGATGTTCCTTTCAAGTCCATCAACAATAACAGTGGTGTCTCATTTTGTTGCCCATGGGAAACCACTCCACCAAGTTCGAGCGCATGGGCTAGCCCACCACCCCCACATTGTTTGTCCTGTATCGGCTTAGCTGCTTCTCCATTGAGCACCTGTCTCCCAGTTTCTGCACCCAGCCGCCATTCGTAAGGCCTGCTGGGGCTGGGCTTGGAGCTGCCGGAGGAGCATGCCAAGCTGATTTGCCGCAAGGTGGAGGCGGGCGCCGCAAGCCTCCAGTGAGTTTGGCACCAAGAGCCCAGTTCAACTGGAAGAAGCTTTCATGGACGCAAGATACTTCGATCACACAACCAGCAGTCATGAAACGGAACTTCGGGTCTGTATGTTGGCCTTGTGGAAGGGTGCAGCGCCCAAGACCTAACCTGTTCATTCCAGTTTGTGGCTCTGTTTCCCGAATTCAGGAACACTCAGTTCGACATGTTTTTGCAACTTGTTTCAGCAAATGTCATGAACTTTGTCAGAGAACCCAATCAGCAGGCTGCCAGGAGAAGCCGGTTTCTAGAACCAATGCTGATTCTAGCGGGTATAGATCCGGCTGTATTTTGGCGTAATCCGAGTCCGATCCAGCTGAAATTTGCACAGGAAGAGTGCTGTAAGAATGCCTGACTCCGGACGCATGCAACGTCATGCCGCAATCCAGGCGCTTATTTTAAGCATCTGATTGACCGTTATTCCAGTCAAGTGTGTGGGGTTGGGCGCGGGGAAGAAAACAACCTCGGAACCGGCTTCCACTCACTAGCATGTTCTTGCAAATTGTCGCTGCAAAGGATTGTTTTGCAATTTTCGGCCGCAGAACCCGCACCCCGCTTAGATGTAGAGTTTCCATGCACTGCAACCCGCTTAAAGTCTAAGTGTGCGGAAGATTGGGTGGCAGGTGCATCGGAACCCGGTTAGCCATATTTCTGCCGCGTAGCCCCACTTCTGCGTGCTTTTGCTCTGACCAGCTGAATGGCCACAATGGGCTCGAGTTTTGAAGCTCCTGATCGGGCCCCAAAGTATCGAGGAGGCAGAGAACTGATAAAGCGGCGAAAGCCAAGGCCAACGCCCGGCTTACGTTGCAGCAGGGAAGTTACGGAATGGCACGACATGTGCCGAACTGCGCACTGCCAGCCTGCCAGGCGGGGTCCATCAGCAAGCGCAGCTTCCAGTCCTTTGTGCAGCGCTACTATGTGGTGACCACAGCCCGGGAGCCCGCTGGCTTCTGGACCCATCAGGGATGACCCCGGAAATTCGTGAAGCTGCAGTTTAGGTTTGAGGAATGTGTGGAAGGGGGGGAGAGAACCCTGCGTCGCCAGCGTTGCTGAGTTTTTGTTTTGTTTTTTTTGTTTTTTGTTTTATCATTTCCGGTTGGTGAGTCATCATAGTTCCCAGAAGGATGTTTTGTGAGAAGGGCTCAACACCCAGTTTGCTTGTGACTGAAACGCGGCGGTCACATGGATTCCCTCGCAAGCAACACATGTCGCTTGAGGCCGTAGAAGCCTCATTTGAGGGCAAGTGTGTCGCTCTCTCGTGCAGCCGAGCGTTGCACTGGCCTTTGCATGGTGGCGTGTGTGAGGAAATGCAAAGGCATTGCGGGGCAAGCCAACCCTTGGATTTTGTAAGGAAACTATCCTTGGCCTAAGCTGGGCGTAAGACTACCGCAAGAAGGTTGCAAGCCAGAAGCCACGCATTCGCACGCAAGCTTGGGGAAGCGTCTTCGCGCCCGCTAGATTTGAACAGGACCTAAAACCTCAATGTGTTTTCCCTGTGGCGAGAGCATTGGGATTTGTCCGCCTCAATTATGTGTTCAGCGGGGTCAATGGTCTCCAAGGCTATTGCAATCACCTCGGAGTTCGATCTCAGCAAGGCACAAGTTGGACTCGCCGGGATTGACGTTTTGTCCTGGGCAATTTTTGTTTTTTGAGTGCCCTTTTTTAGTGGTCTAATTTGGGGGTGTTTGATGACTTTGCCGGCAAGGGTGGCGACCACACCTAAGCAGGCTTTGTTTATAGGGTTCACTTTCGCCTTCGGGAATTTCACAACAGAGGTGTAAGTCCCCGTCTACTTCAACCTCCATATCTTCTCAAAACCAGAGGGTGCTTTTGCTACAGGATCTTTGCCGGTCTTGGAGCTGGCGTTGCTTTGCTCGGCTTGCAGAAAATGGAAGTAAAGGTCATCTTGTCTTTCAAATGCCCAAATTGCATCAAGGAAAACCCATCTCCATTCTCCGTGAGGATCGCGAAGTCTGGGTGCCCTTTTGGACGCAAAACGGATGCAAAAGATGATCTAAGGAACAGCTTCGGCCGGAAATGGCAAGAGATGGCAAGAGTTCCTTTCGTTCGCTCCCATTTGCATGAGCGCATTGGGAGTTGGACCCAGTTGCGTTTGGTTTAGGGTAGGCCCCTGGGATTCTTCAGACTGTTCGTCAAACATCCATTACAGGGAAGACCAGTATCGCCTCCATCTCTTGTGGTTGCATTATCAAGCATTCAATCGAGGTTTTGAACCCGTATTTTGGGGATGAATTGAAATAATGAGAAGGAAGCGAGAAAGTTGTGAAATCACAGGTGAGATGAAAGACTACTGTAGACGCATCATACATGACTGGTTTGAGAGCGCATTGCAAGCGACTCGAGTGAGGCTGGCAAAGTGTTCTTGCCCTGGCGTGTGGCTCCGACAAAAGTTTGGCAACCTTCTGAATGGCAGTATCAGTATCATCTTGGGGCACGCGCAAAAATGGGGGCGGGGACTTCTTTTAACCAACCTGAAATTGCTGTGTGTGTGTGTCTCTTTTTGTTCGCTTTACGGTCAAGGGCTTCGCGACAATTGTGCTGGGATTCAGTTCTCCTCATGCCCCATCGGCAGCGTTTGGCTGGTACATGCCCGTCGTGTTCAAAACGTTAGACAGCAGCTGGACCCCTTCTGTGATGGCAAACAAGGGAAGCATGGAACCGTTCCAGTATTTCTTCAGGAGGCCAGGTTGCCCCCAGCTAATGCTGAGTTGATTTTTTCGGGCCTGTGGCAGGCAAAGACTTTGCGCAAGGCACGTGAAGCGGGGGCGACGGCGGACGTTTGGCATAGAAATGTTCCATGTAGTTGCAAGCAAACTCAGTGATCCAGTTGCCACAAGAATCAACTTGAAGTTGTGTAATTATTTTTTGGTCGTTTGCTTGAAGCACACACTGCAGGCAGAGCCCGAAGAGATCTTCGAGATTCTGGAGGCGGAAAGCGGCCAACAAGATCCAGCCACACCCCTCCGTCGAACTGAGCATTTGCCATTTACAAATGACACCTGCGGGATTTGAACCCGCGCAGCTTGCGCTAGTGGAACTTGAGTCCACCCCCTTAGACCACTCGGGCAAAGTGTCCTTGCTGCTGAGGTTCGGGCTTTCAAATAACATCTTTCTTTTCCTTTCTTTCCCTTCCTTCCCTTTTCCTTTTCCGTTCCTTTTCCCTTTTCCTTTTCCCTTTTCCTTTTCCCTTTCCTTTTCCCTTTCCTTTTCCCTTTCCTTTTCCCTTTCCTTTTCCCTTTCCTTTTCCCTTTCCTTTTCCCTTTCCTTTTCCCTTTCCTTTTCCCTTTCCTTTTCCCTTTCCTTTTCCCTTTCCTTTTCCCTTTCCTTTTCCCTTTCCTTTTCCCTTTCCTTTTCCCTTTCCTTTTCCCTTTCCTTTTCCCTTCCCTTTTCCCTTTCCTTTTCCCTTCCCTTTTCCCTTCCCTTTTCCCTTCCCTTTTCCCTTCCCTTTTCCCTTCCCTTTTCCCTTCCCTTTTCCCTTCCCTTTTCCCTTCCCTGATTCCCTTTTCCTTTTCCTTTTCCTTTCCTTTCCTCCTTTCCTTTTCCTTCCTTTCCTGTGTATCTATGTATTTATCTATCTATTTCTAACCATCTTGCAAACTAACTATCTGTCTGCATCTCATCTTTCTTCCCCTCCCTCCCTCTCTCTCTCTCTCTCTCTCTCTCTCTCTCTCTCTCTCTCTCTCTCTCTCTCTCTCTCTCTCTCTCTCTCTCTCTCTCTCTCTCTCTCTCTCTCTCTCTCTCTCTCTCTCTCTCTCTCTCTCTCTCTCTCTCTCTCTCTCTCTCTCTCTCTCTCTCTCTCTCTCTCTCTCTCTCTCTCTCTCTCTCTCTCTCTCTCTCTCTCTCTCTCTCTCTCTCTCTCTCTCTCTCTCTCTCTCTCTCTCTCAGTCTGCCGCAGCTCTTGCCTGCGGTATGTATCAACCATCAGTGTAGTGCACATGCAACTGTATCATGCACTCACTATAGTCTAACACGCCCCCTCCGTTGTGCAACCTGACCGTAGTTGGAAGGCGGAATCCAAAAAGGAACTGACATGTAGTTTTCTGATCTACCCTCAAAGTCTAAAAGGTGTAGTGGCTGTACAGGGTCCTAGTTAACCCCTCAGTAGTCTCAGCTACTCAGAAAATGTAGTCCAGCAGGTAGCACTCAGGCATGCTGCTGCCAGTGATGGAGCCTGTAGTCGCGCACCAACTTCAGGCGTGCTGAAGTAGTGTGTAACGAAGTAGTTGTTGAAATCAGGCGCTCCACGTAGTCGATTATCCTCGATCTCGGGTGCTGCCAGTTGTAGGTTTTTAGAGCGAAGGTAGTTGTGGAGTTGGATTGGAGTCGTTGTGGTGGCGTGAGGTCGGTCATGGTGAGCAGTGTGAAGCCGTAGTAGTGTGTGCTTTTGTGGAACTACCACATGCCTCTGCTCCTCCCTACTTCACTAACTACACGACTTTCAGTACAAAGCAACCACTACCATTCTCCAAATGTAGTTGTTCCTAGGCTGTAGATCTCAGTGAACATGCTCATGTCATAGTCCACCTGCAGTTGCGTTGTGCTTGTTGTGAAGTTGGAAGGTAGCGCAGGGTCTGAATGGACATGCTGGTGAAGTGGAGTAGTTGTGCTGAGGAGATACCTCAGTAGTAGCTCCTGCTCAAGGTATAGTTTGACAACAATGTAGTGGTCAGGGTGACCAGTTGTGATGTGAAATCAGGTAGTGACTGCTGCAAGCTTCTGCCATGGAGATGCTCAGTAGTGTTGAGTCATACTGAGGCATCCTCAAGATGCACTGTAGTGGTCGTGTGTAGTCGAGGTGGTTAAGTGTTGTTGCTTGTTGTAGTGAAAGTAGTTGGTACTCCTCAAGAGTAAGTGCTGTGAAAAGTTGAATGTAGTGAGTGTGGTTGTTGAGGTGTGGTGTAGTCGTGGTCTGGTGTTCTGTGATGTGAAATTTCTCAGTGATGGCTGTTGGCTGGTAGTATGGTGTGGTGCCAGGTTAGTGACGCTCGGTCACTCGATTCTGTAGCCTCCACTGCAAGTGGAGTTGATGCCCTGTCGGGTGTAGTGTCACCCATGGTGGCATTGACGCTTGTAGGTCCAGTGGCCGTGGACAAATGTAGTGAAACGGGGCACCTTAGTGGAGCAAACAAAATGACAGACAATCAACAAATGTAGCGTTGCCTGAGCCGCCTGGAAGCCGCCGAAGTGCAAGTGATACACATGTAGTTGCATTTACAAACACTTGAGTTGGGGCACATGTAGTCAAAAAGGAAAAGGTGGTACCAAAACGTGTAGTCAATGCGTGTGAAAAATGACACCAACAGGGAGAAAAATGGCGTGTTGTGAAACGGTTCTTGTTGTTGTTGTTGTTGTTGTTGTTGTTGTTGTTGTTGCTGCTGCTTGTAGTTACACACTCATGCTCAGTGCCTGAACAAGTCGTGCGAGTGTGTCCTTTGTAGTGTACTTTACTAGAATGTCTGCGCTGTTGTGGAGTGTGTTGATCTTTGCTATATTGGTGATGTTTTTCTGGACGAGGTCTTGTGTGTAGAGAAATTTGAGGTCGATGTGTTTTGCTCGTTTGCTTGAACGTTGTCGTGTAGATATGCTCTTGCCTGCTGTAGAGTCGGTGTGAATGCGAATGTTAACTGTGTAGTGCATATGTTTGTTTCTAACAGGAAGGATCTCAGGTGTAGTCCTTCATTCACTCCTGTGCAAATTGCGAAGAGCTCTGATTCTGCTGAGCTCAAAGCAACTGTAGCTTGAGTCCTGCTTCCAAATGCGATTGTTGTGTTGAGTAGTTTGATGTTGAAGCCTGATGTTGATTCTTGATTTGCGTGTAGTTGGGCATCCTGCCCAATCGGCATCAACGTAGATCTCGAGGTCAAGGCAGTTGTTGGTGTCAGAGTTGAGTGTAGTGGTTGGTTGTATTATGAACTTGTAGTGCTTGGTTCCTTGAAGGTAGCGTATTAAGTGTTTGACTCGTTTGTTGGAAAGTTCTGTAGGTGCTGTGAGGTCTCTTGCAAGTTCTTTGATGGAGTAAGCAATGTCTGGTCGTGTGTGGGCTAGCCATTGTAGTTTTCCTACAACACGTGTACCTCTTGTGTTGTTGTTTGTCAAGTGGTGCTTCATCTTCCACTGTGGGCTTGTAGTGTGCCAGGTGTAGCCAGGGTTGCAGTTCTTGAGGCTTGCTTCCTCAATGCTGTTGTTGACGTAGGAGTCGGCCAGTCCGATGGTGATGTGATCACCGTTGTGTTCGATGATTCTTCCAAGGAATTGTTGTGGTTGTTGTGATTCAATGTAGCCAATGTGTTTGAGTAGTACTCGTTGTTGGATTGCCTCAAAGGTCTTGTTGACTGTAGTTGGGTCACCAAGAACAAGTAGGTCATCAACGTACACCATGATGTAGCAGTTTCTTGTAGGGGAAGTGTAGACGTTGGGTTCGGACTTTACTCGTTTGAAGCGTAGTTCTTGTAGGACTTGTGCTAAGTAGTCTTGCCATGCTTTTGGTGAACTGCGTAGTCCGTACATGGCTTTTCGTAGTCGCCATAGTTTGTCTTGTCGTGGGCAGAGTTCCTTTGGTGGCCAAATGTAGGTTGGCTTTTCGTTGTGCTGTGAGAGTGGTGCGTGTAGGAATGCTGTAGATACGTCTCCTAGTCGTGCTGTCCATCCTGGTCGGGCTAGTTGTAGGAGTAGAAGTGTCCGTAGTGTTGTGAACATTGGTGTAGATGCATACACGGAGTCCTCGTCGTCGACTTTCTCGCTGTAGCCTTTTGCGACGATGCGTGAGCGAACTAGTAGTCCTTTCTCACGGTGTACCCATCGTGTAGGGATTGCTTCCCTTATTGTAGAGGGGTCAAGTGTGGAAATGTCTACTTCTTCGTAGACTTTGTGTAGTTTCATTTGTGCTGCCTCTGTTTTCATTCCTTCCAGTAGTTTGGATTCGTCAAATCCTTCGTTGTCAAAAATGATTGGTTGCTGTTGTTCGTCGGGGTCTTCTTGGTGTTGCTGTTGGCGGTGCTGTTGCTGTTGCTGTTGCTGTTGCTGTTGCTGTTGCTGTTGTTGCTGCTGCTGCTGTTGCTGTTACTGTTGCTGTTGCTGTTGCTGTTGCTGTTGCTGTTGTTGTTGCTGTTGTTGGTGCTGTTGCTGTTGTTTTTGGTGTTGTTTTGTGTTGTTGGTGTTGCTGCTGTGTAGTGCACGTGCAACTGTATCATGCACTCACTGTAGTTTAGCATCTCTCTCTCTCTCTCTCCCTCTCTCCCTCTCTCTCTCTCCCTCTCTCTCTCCCTCTCTCCCTCTCCCTCTCCCTCTCTCTCTCTCCCTCTCTCTCTCTCCCTCTCTCTCTCCCTCTCTCCCTCTCCCTTTCCATCTCTCTCTCCATCTCTCTCCATCTCTCTCCATCTCTCTCCATCTCTCTCCATCTCTCTACACCTCTTTTTATCTCTCTACATCTCTCTACATCTCTCTACATCTCTCATCTCTCTACATCTGTACATCTCTCTCCATCTCTCTACATCTCTCTCCATCTCTCTCCATCTCTCTACACCTCTCTACATCTCTCTACATCTCTCTACATCTCTCTCCATCTCTCTCCCTCTACATTCTCTACATCTCTCTCTCTCTCTCATCTCTCTACATCTCTCTCCATCTCTCTCCATCTCTCTACACCTCTCTACATCTCTCTACATCTCTCTACATCTCTCTACATCTCTCTACATCTCTCTACATCTCTCTACATCTCTCTACATCTCTCTACATCTCTCTACATCTCTCTACATTTCTCTACATCTCTCTTTATCTCTCTACATCTCTCTACATCTCTCTCTCTCTCTCTCTCTCCCTCTCTCTCTCTTTACACCTATCCATGTCTCTATCTGTCGTCCTTGTGAGAATGCCGTGCCTGCCGCACGCGCAATGGCACGGCAAATGAAAATTGAACTCTCCATTTGTTCATGCGGATTAAGAATCGAAGTTGCTATACTCTTGAGTCATCTGAAAGGCCTATCTTTTTAACCCCCTTGGAGGGACTACAGACAATTCCTGCTTATTGGCTTGGGTTGTGCAGGCTGATTTTTGCTCAGCGCGATGTGCCGCCCGTCATGCTACCATCCAATGAGCCGGCAATATGTGCGCGCGGCGACCTGCAGCACTGCTCCAAGGGCGCCGCTAGCATGTTGGCTGGGCATCGTGCGGGAGAGTCTCCGCTCAGGCTCCCTGCTACAGTCTTATGGCCCTTGCTGGTGGCAATGTGCAGTCACTCGCGCCCTGCTCACCTCCCGATATCTCGCCGGCAACGCATGAAGCAGCGGCCATCATATGAATTCCAGACCGGGAAGCAGGAGAAGAAGGAGCTGTATCTCAGTTCCAAAAGCTTGCCTTGTGACCTTTGGTTCCAGTTTTCCAATTGGGCCACAGTGAGCAAATGTCAAGCATTTATTTCCGGTTTGTTTTTTTGCCAGCAAGGTACTTTCTGAACTGCCCGACGTCTCCAGAAACCAATCCGAAAGGGAGGTCCCAAGGCGCTGCAAGTCTGCGCTACCAACTCAAGCAATGCAGAAGTGCCTCACGCTTGCTGGCATTGCTGGAGCAGGCTGTCTCTGAAGAGAAGATGGAAGCCAGTGTCATTGGAGCTGCCATGCAGACATGTGGCTATCGCTGTTGGTGGGGGACGTTTCTGAAGGTTCGCGCCATTCAGCAGGAGCAGGCAGTATTGTTATTTACAGTTCAGCTGAGCATTGCGTTGACGGCCTTGGCGCATTGCCTGAAGCAAGGCGGAAAATTTGGCGCGCTCCAACAGCGCAAGCTCGAGGTGTTTGCAATGGCGCGAGATATTTGGCAGGAAGTGACTGCCACTGACAAGCCAACGGGTCCAGAAGACTTCAATTGTGGTCTCAGCAGTGCCGTCAAGCTGGCTCGCTGCGTGGACACGCCAGAAGCTCGAGAGTGGGGAATCGAAGTCTGGCGTCAGGCAGATGCCACCTATCGGAAAAGCATCATCACCTTTGGTTCATATGTCCATTTTCTGGAGCACTACAAGCTGCGCGATGAGGTGGATTCAATTTTGGCAGAGGAGAGTCTTGAGACTAATTGTGTGGTGTTGGGCTCGCTGCTTGACAGCGCAGCTTCGTGGGGAGACACGGCGCGCGCAAATCATCTGTGGGATTTGTTTGTGAACCAGCACGGCGTGAGTCCGAACTTGCTTTGCCACAACGCCTTCGCAAAAGCCTTTCTGATTTCAGGACATCCAACACTTGTGACTCAAATTCTTGGGCCGGTTGTAGAAACCGCGTGCAGCGAAGAGGATTTCAATGTCCTGTCGACATATGTTCAATCGCTGCTGGTAGTTTATCAGTCTTCTCTGGCAGTAGAGCACCTCAACCAGCTGCTGCCCCTGCTAGAGAAGGAGCCGCCTCCCAGATTTGCGAGGGAGTGGCAACGCTTTGCAGAAGCAGTGCAAAGTTTGAGGACTGGAAGCTAGCTCTCAATCCGTGTTGACCCGTTGTTAGTGGCCCCTCTCCATTCCGGGTCTCTGTTTCAGAAGAAACACCATCAGAAAACACGGATTTGCTATGCAGTGGAAGTTTTTGTGCAAGGGTTGACCACTATGCGTTGTTCGACACCGTAGTTGAGCAGCGCCGTAACGTTCATATCCCTGCGATAGAATTAAGGGGGTGTCGAAACTCTCAAACGACTGTCGGTTTTATTGCAGAACCAACCCGCAATGGATTTAACCCCCAATCGGTTTGAGCGCCAAGCGCATGTGGGGGTTTGGGCCTAGCTCAGGAACGCCTGTCCCACTGCGCGCAGTGCTGATCGAATGGAAGGCTAGGACACTGAGCCGCATGGCCGGATGGGAGAACTTTGCAGCGGGTTCTGGCTACGTGGCGCGTTTGGAAGCAGACCGGCCATGCGTGGCTGGCGTTGAAAAGAGGGGATGCTGCGCTTCCATGGCAGGGAACTTGTGGTGCCTGTTCTTCTCGATCTCGGTGTGTGTTTGAGCCCTTGCTTCCTCCTGTACGAACCATTGCTTCATATACCTTGAAGTTCTCTCCAGCTCTCGCTCTAGTGCAGTGTGTTATATCGTCTCTTTCTTTTTGTTGTTTGGTCTATTGCCAATGTTTGTTCATGTCACAGCCGCCTGAGCATCTGCTGACCGAAAAGAGCACGATTTATCTATAGTTTCAATGGCTCAGGCTCCGTTCCAAGGAATGCGCGCTCGTTGAAGGTTTGCGTTGACGCCAGGGCCCGCAGTCCGATGAGAAGATCGGGCTCACGCGGGTCCGCGCAAGGTGCCGCCTGAGGGGGCAGTTGAGTTGGCCATGCACCAGCCAAACCAGATTAACATGGAACCTGAAAAGGAGTTTCCAAAAGAATATTCCTAGTGGTCATACTTTGCATGACCGAATGATTCCATGCTAATCTGTAAAGGAATAACTTGGCAACCACTGTTCTGGTTTCTCAGGGACACTTCCTTCAAACCTGGATGACATATCAATGCTGGAATCACGGGGCCCAGGGAATGTCAGTACCCTTAAACAGGTAGTCAGTTGGTTCATTACATTCTGGGGATTCCGTTTGGGGATCCACGCTGGAATGGTGCACCAGGGTGGATCATCCGAGTCCACAGCTAATGGGGGGGGTGTTTTATGGAAACCCCTCTTGGTTGAACCCAAGGGAAGCAAAAGGAAACCGCACCTTTTTCGGGAGGCCTAATTGTAAGACAAACCCAAATTCAAATTGGGGGACTCTTAGGCTGTTGTGATGAGAAAACACCTCTTGATCGGGGGTGTCGATCATGTCATGCCATGCCCCGGTGACAGCTTTCCTTACAGTATTTGAGGGAGGACAGCTGTTCGACGAAATATCTCCCTGTGTTTGTGCTTATGGACCCCTTCTGAAAAGACGCCGAATGGCAAGAACTCATAGGCAACACACCACCCATGAAGGGAATCGTTGGAATCGGGGCTGCCCCCGTCCACGTATGACAACGGCGCGGCTTGCTGTCATGATTGAAGTGCCATGGCTTTCAAAGCGCTTTCGTTTTTTCCCCAGCAATCATGGCTAGACGTCATGGAACAGACTACGTGAACACTAGCTACTGGAAGACTGTAAGACTAGATTATGGGATGTTTGCAAGACCACTGGAAGACTGGAGGACTGCAGGAAGACTATGGACACATATACAACAGGTCCAACACTGAAAACCAATACAGAAGGGGAACTGACAACGATCAGAAGGCTACTTCGCTTGATGACATCCAGACAGGCCCAACCATTTGGAATCCGAGTGACACCACTGTCCTGTCACGAAATGCAGCTCGGATAGGAACAGGTCAAGACAGAGTGCTATTTAAATAAGAAGGTCTCGTGTTCACTTCAGTTCTAGCACGTTTAGAGGATCAAGGATGCAGCATGTAGTTGTCATTGGCACGCTTCTACATCTCCGCACGAACATTTGGACATGTTCCTCAATTAGGCGCCCTTTTGCGGATGGTGTTCGGAGGGAAGCAACAAGGACATCGTTCCCACATCTGGTTCCCCCCACAAAATACATACTCAAAGGGGGGCCGCCCCCAAGTCCCCCTTCCGGAGGTCGCTGGTGGACGCGACCGAGGGGTGGCTGAGCATCAAGGGCAACCAGGCCGAGAAAGGGCCCTTTTGACCACGTTTGCGCCCGGTTTAGCATTCAGCAACCGTTGCTCAAATAATCTTCATGTTGGTTAGGTGTCCATGGATTGGGTTACCATGCTAAAAGTGTAGCGATGCACTCGGAAGCTTTCGTTTCTGAAAAGGAGTCAAAAGGCCAGCGGCCGACAGAGAAGCAGAGAGCCGGTCGCTGCAGAGTGTGCATCGCAGGGTGGGAGGTTGTTTGGACTGTAGCTCCCCACATTTCACCGCCCGATGAACAGCTGCCCTCGTTCTGGAACTTGACAGACACGCCGTCCAAGACCTGGTCTCTTTTCCGACCTTACACCGGCTTCCTAGAGACAGGCTCCAATGCAAGCATACTGCAGCTGTCCAAAGCAGACGTTCGCGTTGCATGTGCGCGAAAGAGGCTTGACTGGTTTCAGGCAGGCAAGGACCTTTTGATCGTTGAACCGTGACAAAACCACTTAGACTTGGACGCCTTGAAGTGGTTGGTTTTACGGTTCATAGTATTGACCCATACCTACACGAGCACCTGGTAACAGCATAAGGGATGGCATCGCTTCGCACGGCGACCCAGAACACAAGCCGGCTTTTGTCAAATTTCAGCTAGCATGTCTCGGCTCTAACGAGTATCCACTATTCCATCTAATGAAGGCCGCGACGCATATCCTCAACCTCATCTTCAGGCTTCAGTGAAAACGACGTATATATCGTATTAATCTGTACCCTTTTTCTCCCCCCACTAGCTACTCCTTCTCCCTTCACACCGGGATTTCCTTGAAGGGAACTCTGTCCTCCAAAGTGACCCGCTTCTCCAGTGAGTTTACATTTGGCACGCCAGGGCTCCATCTTCCTCAAAGAGTTGGAGAAGCCCTTTTACACCGTATCCGGCGCTGAGGAGGCTGTCTTGTCGGGGATTGAGATGAAAGATTTGGACGGGATGCCAAAATGAAATGAACCACCTGCCTGGAGCCTGAGCCAGAAACCAAGTCTTGGTTTCTATTCCCAGCCATGCTTTATGAGAAGTCCTTCAGGATGGGATGCGGTAGTTTGGGTACCCATTTGTTCAGGAGCCATACGTGAGGTGTCACCATCTGCTTGTTGTTTATAGCGATGTTTCTCTCCGGTGCCTGCATATATATATATATATACAGGGATGTGAGTGAAAGCAAACTATTGAGGATCCAAAAGGAAGTGGCCTGCAACTCACCCAACGAATTCATTGTTTTTGTATGTAGTATGTCAGCTGTCAGAAGGGAATTGGAATGGTTGGGAATCAACATGGAGCCCAGAAGGGGTTCCCAACAATCAAGATGAGATTCCTCTAAACATGTAGCTTCGGTTCCACGTTAATCTGCAGAGTAGTATCTTACTCCTCTTCGGCGAAGCCGCCTTCGGCGACGCGCCAGGTGCGCCTCGATGCTGGGATCAAGTGCGAGGGCGAGCCTCTGCGCGTGATCAAGAGCGGCGAGGCGAGAGTCGAGTTGCGATGTGCAGCTTGCTTTAGTTTGCTTTCAAAGGTGGACATTCAAAGGGTTCTCAGATCTCGCCACAGATATCAACGGCGCTTGTACTGAAAGAGTTTTCTGAGGATGCTGACATGAAGGGATGCCAGTAGATTTCTATCCAGCAAGGCCTTACTTGACACGGGCCTGCCTGTACTTTCGGTCGAGGCCCCCCTTTTCCTGGCGGCAGTTTTCAATGGCTGGCAGATCCTCTGCCTACAACTTCTGTAAGTCGGCACCATTCAAGTAGGTAGGAAAACCCTCAATGTAGCCTCTCACTTCAGAGTGGGACCCCCAAGCTTCCTAGTTGAAGCCCCACCAAGCTCCCCCATGGTTTGTCCAAGCTGTTCTTTTTCCAGTCAAAGCAAGCGGTGCTATAACTTGACCGCTTCTGCAGGTGATGGAGATGTTGGAAGGCCCCAAGAAGGAGACCTTCCCAGCTGCGCTCAAGGGCAAGGCCAAGGCCAGGGCCCGAGCGTCACAGATTTGGACGCGGAACTCGTAACCCGTTGGTTGAGTTCCTCTTCCTTTTTCTGCTTTCCCCGACTTAAGGACTTGGGGATACCTGGACGTATTCCCCATCGTTTGTTGTTGTTTGTTTGTTTCGATATTAGTTGCCATCAGCACATGTATGCCGTTGCTGCCCCCACACCCTATCCACCTTCCTGCTGCCACAAGTCCAGCCCATGCAAAGCCAACTGCAAGCACCAACTCCAAGATTGCCTGCTCCATTCACACCATGGGCTACCTCGAGTATAGAATCATATATAATCCCAGGGCTACCCTAAGTACAGTAAGCAAGCAAAGCCCCCAAGCAACCCTGATCACGTCACGCTAGCAAAAGCAAGCCAGGGACGAAACATGAGGGACAGGATGGGCTCAAGAGACACAACTGGCATTGGAACAGGGGAGCACGTTCTGAATTCATTCAATGTTGCGTCTGAGGGCAAACTTGGCACGTGCAAAGAGTGGATGCTTCCCTTAGCCCAGAAACACTCCCACGACAAAGAGACTCGGAGACCAGGTCGGGTTGCAGAAATGCGCAGATGCGGGCATCTGTTTGGCGTCTAGTTCTGCAAATTGCTGAGGCTATGTCAGATGATGCTGCTGGCTGGTTCAGCATCAGGGACCGCCAGGCTGGTTACAGTCAGTGACTGGAACGCACAAGTCAATGCAGCGGCGCATGAGTCCTGATCGGTTTTAGGATTCTCGAAACAGGAAATAAATCTGGTAGCCCAGAACTATGGTAACATGTATACTAACATATTATATATATATAGCGAGAGAGAGAGAGAGAGAGAGAAAGAGAAAGAGAAAGAGCGAGAGAGAGAGAGAGAGAGAGGTAAAGAGCTCATTGCTGCCTGCAAACTTTATAGCTTTGACTGTTTCTTACACTATGGGGGGATTCACACACACACACACACATCACCTCATTAGCATGGTGAGGTGCGATGCCGTGTCTATTCTGCTGAGTCAAGTCACACGTTTGGTTGGCAAGAGCGGTTCCTGTTCATGTTCGTAAACAGGTCGAGCTGCAATCTACCTTCTATTTTGCTCATATGACCTCAGCAAGTCATATCAATGCTTCAAACACATGTGTATTCAATGGAGTATTGACAATTCTGACACGAATACACATGTATTTGTGTGTGTGTGCAGGTGCACGTATACACATAATATGATTCATACACATTTGCAACCTCTTGATGGTTGGGTTTAAACGTAACCCCAAGGAAGCCAACAATATGAGCGACTGCCTTTATCTAGAGAAGGCTGCAGAAAGGGCCGGGCGGAAACATTATTTGAGGAGCAATCCTGAATTCGGTCGCCCCTAAAAAGAGGGCCACGACATACGGGTTGAGATGCGTTGCAAAAGGAGGTCAATGAGCTGAAACGGGTGCAGGGTTGGAGGGCTTGAGAAGGCCAACTTACTGCGGTAGCTCGTGTGGACAGTCACCCGAGCGGGTCACTCAGGGCAACGTCTTCGCGGAGGCGGAGGGCAAGATCTATAGCTGCGTCTCCACTGCCGGAGCCTCGGTCTTTCGGCCGTGTGTGTTTTGAGAGTGCCTGGTTGATGGTTGGGTTCAAGGGAAATCAACCGGAAAACCCCGCAATTTAAAGCACTGGGGGGAGGGAGGGGCGTTTTTTTTGGTTTATTTGTGTGTGGCTTTCTTTTGTACTCTTTTTGTAGCGCTGGTGAAGGCAAACCAAGGCCACACCAAACATAATTTTCCGTGGAGGGGTCCCCACGCCCTCACGTTAGAGCTCATTGCTTCGACTGTTCTGGGGATCATCATGAGTCAGCTACTGGGCTTGGTTTGCATCTAGCACTTGGAGGGCGACTGAGAGAAAGGTGAAATCCCAGAGTCTGTTAGAACCCTCTTGGAACATACAGCTTAAGTGAGGCCACGTTCCCAGGCGTTTTGGGGTCGGCCTACCCTCCCTTGTGTGTGTTCAAGGTATTTTCCATGGGAGGGGGCTTTGATTCAACAGCCTCACTTAGCCGAGCCATCGCGCAAATCTTGGCATCTTTGGGTTGCAACTGGAGACTTGGGCATCCAGTTTTTGTGGGACCTTTTTTGCGAGCATGTTTTGGGAGAAACTAATCGTAAGGCATCCCCAATTCAAACCGCGTGTTGGGCAAACATGGAAAGACTTGTGGTCCGTTAAACTTCCTCACTTGAGCCAAGCTCCACTGCACATGTTCTAGGGAGTCATTTCGGGTCAGAGACTCAAGCTGGCTGAGTGATTCAGATGGGATTGATGCAAACTCTTGTGCTCCAAAGCACTGAATGGTCCCCTTTCAGTATGTCAACCTGGTTTGCTGCGCCAAAGAAAAACATCCGAAAGGGGACACCCCCCAACATTCACCAGCCAAAGTATGCAGATGTTCCTTTCACAAATCAATGCTTAAAGGCGTTCGGAATTGACACTGTGGGCTGGCAAAGTGACGGCCGTCACAGCTCTCCAGTGTTGTTGCTGGCACATGCAGTCCAAAACTCCTTGCGACTTCTTGGCAGGGAATCTTGGAAAGAACCAAGCACTGCTTATTGTAGGAAATGGTTGGGCGGTTCATTCCCAGATTGCCAAAGAGCAAGCGCTCCCAGGTCGCAATGACCGACAATTTTGACATCAAGGACTGTCAGGCTGTTCGGATTGGCCCAGTCATGGCTGCTTTTCCCGCTGTATTTGTTTGCAGGGCCATGGACAATGGGGGTACATTGAAATCGGTGATGCACTTGGGCGGCTTAGCCACCCTGCTTCGAGTTCCGCGTTTGGGTTGTGGCCGCAGTCTTGTAGCTAAGTGAACCTGCGGGCTGCTACTTTGGCCTTGCCTTCACTGGGTGACCCAGGCAAAACCTGGCCAGCTGATCCAGTTAAAGAGAGGCATTATCTAGGCCTTTCGGCGGCGCATTTGCTGGAGCTGGGAAATTTCACAGCCTGCCCAGACTGCGGTTGGGCACCTGTTTTGGCGGCAGGCCCAAAAATGGTTCTTTCCTCACTCAGCGTCCATGTCTGTGGACCTTTGATACTTTTTTCCAAATTCTAGCAGGGTTATTTCTCATTGTTACATTTTGGAATTACACCCCTGACAAAGACCCCTAAATCGACAAGCGTGCTGCACAGAAGCCGAAGATGTGGTGGTTTCGTTAGAATTTCGTTTGCTTGTCCTTCCAATTGGCGGTATATGCGGGGTTCTCTTGGGTTTTCTTTTTGGTTTCCGATTCGCAACCCGAAAGAGGGTGCCCACCCAAATACAGACACACCCAGGTGTGTGTTTTTGCAAGATAGGGGTTTTCTAACGATGCTTTTGTTCTTTGGGGCTCCTTCAGATACACCAACTCAAGGGGGTCGAGAAGCTGCCACCATTCCCAGCCATGCGCGTGTGACACGCACAGGTGGTGAAGAAGCTGGCCGTCGGGGAGCTCTTCAGCGTGGAGGAGGGCCCAACCACTCAGGAGGAGCTCGGAGGGGCCGGCGGTTTTGGCGTGCCCAAACTCCAGGTTTGGTATGCTGCGTGTGTGAATTGGTCTTGATGAAAGTCAGGGCCCGGCCGTAAACGTGTAGTACAGCCATCCTGTGGGAATGAACAGTCAGTGATTTGTTTCTTGGGAGCTTCTTAAATGGTGTGCACACTGTCTTTGGTGTGCATGTCCGCGAAAGTCCGAGGGGAGCTCAGGGTCTTATGATCGAACTTGAAATAGCTTGCCGGGATGTGAACTTGACACGCCCACGAATCGTTTTCTCCAAAGTCGACAAGTTGAGCACTGGTGAAGGTCTCCAGATGTCATTGGACCAAGCTCCCCTGTTAGGAGTCCGGCGTGACCAGAGTCAAGGGGAAGACCTTGACAGACGAGAAGGCGCGGAGCTGGAAGGTTGCGCCTTTTGGTACCCTTGGAAAGAATAGAGAGGTTTGAGGGGGTCCCCTTATTTTGCACAGGATGTTTCAGGCAACCCTTAGTTGGTGGTCTGGATTGGTGGTTTGGGCATGTGAACCTCTAGCGTAACAAACCTATTGGTCATTGATTTGTTACAAAGTTGAGTGGTGTACGCTCTTGGTGACTGGCTACGTGCATGCCCAAGGGCGAATCTGAAGGAGTATATCCTCTGACACATAGTGGAAGAACCAACTCCAACAAAGGTGCCCGAAATGAGAATGTCTCTACACACGTTTGTCTGAGTATGCTTGAATGTGTAGTTGCCAGGGGTGGCATATAAGGTTCCAAGCACCATTAGCATGTTATGTTGGTTTGGAATGCCTCGTTCTCTTGTTTGTCCTCTTCATGGCAACCAGACACCAGCCATGAGTTGTTTGCCGACTTGCAGGCATTAGTGCAGATATGTTTGACATCCATGGTGTTTCTCCTCGGGCGAGGAAGACTCCCCATCGCCTTCAGGTTACAGCAATCCACTTTGATTGTAGGTCGAGCCGTTGCTGCCTCACCGTTTCTGTTTGCAATCTCTGGAGGTTGGAGACATGAAGGCAGCCTCAACGGGGGGGGAATACGGGTGTGTGCAAAAATAGGAGAGCCCAAAAAGAAGTGGGTGGATTCCTTTTAGTCTCGCCACCCAAAGGGCCCCCAATGTTAGGACAGACTGGGGTTTGGACTGGAAATTACGCAGTTCAAAAGAGCCTCCCCATGGATTTTCCATCCATCCGGGGCGGTCTGTTACCAGCGCTTTCCCCGGTGAGGTCGGCTGGGTCACCATCAAGGGCAACGCAGGCACCACCTACGCACAGGCCGGCTCCAGGTTTCTCAGACCTCGCGCAGCAGGGCTTCTTACAACTGGAAGATGATACCCACACCCGCAGTGTTTTTGTATGGAAGAAGGGGCGTACCTAGCCTCAGCAAAGAGGCTTGTCCCCATACATGTTCCGTTTGGTGCTGGAGAATATGGAGAGGTCCCCCCCAACGTTTTCCCCAGTTGGGGGCTCTTAAGTCGATTCCATGCTCTAGCAAGCCGAGTCTAGAGCCGGAGCGCCGCGCCACTGGGCGCGCAACATGTGCCTGACCCACGCCTAGCACTAGGCCGCCTCAGATACGAACACATACAGCCCCCCAATGAGAATAGAACACACCTTGGGGGGAATAGGGACCGGGGGAGCTGCAGGAGGGGACTGCAGTTGGGTGCAGCCCAGCCGGAAATTTGTTGCTTTGCATTGCCGTATTGAACATGCAAGTTTGGCATTGGGAGGTGGGGGTCTGGAAAGACTTTTATTTGTAATTGGAGTTTAGTAGACTTACCAATTTGGGAAAAGGGGCTACAGGTAAGGACGTATGCAGATATCCCCGAAGTGGAGACTAGAAGTCTCACCCGATAGAGTGGCCTAGCAAACGTCTCATCTCTCATCCGCTTGCAGGCGAGCAAGACGCACTACGCCATTGTGAAGGAGGCCGCTGCTTACTTTGTCAAAGGCGGTTTTATTTGGGTTTGTGTCGCAGTGGAACCTACGACAATGGTTTCGAAGCCTTCAAACGAACAAGAGGCGCCCTCCGAAAAGCAAACCCGTTTCACTTGGCAGTGTTTTACAAGGAGCCTTCCAAACGGTTGCTTGCTTGCTTTCCTTTTGCTTGTGCAGGCTGTGCAGGACGGTGATGTGATATGTTGTTCTTTTGTTAGACTAGAGGCCTTCCCAACAGTCTGGTCTCGTGTTGGTTTTATTCAATGGCCCCACAGTCCAATTACCCAAAAGAGTCCAACTCGCTCCTGCAAACCGTGTTTGTGGATGCTTTCGTTTTGTGGAATCCGACAAAAAAAAACATTTTGTGAGGATGGTGGTCTTTAAGGTCTCTCAGTTGTGAAATGGAGGGTACCATTGAACAGTCAGTTTGGTTTAAAATCAACGGTATAGCTCCAATCATGTATCAGTGGAATCCGCATATGTTCCACAAGGCACCTGGGCTGTTGTGAACATTTGCGTTTTAGGGCGACCTTCTGTGGGATACCAGGGAATCCCTTCAAGCAGGGGATGCGTAAGGGTCGCTTCAGTCTTCGCCAAAATATGTTAGAGTCGACGAAATGTGGAACCCTGTCAGACAAGCCCCTTGTTTTGAGCATCCGAAGAGTGGCCAAACCAGTGGGACATGTTTTTTTGTTCGGTTGTTTTTCTTAACACAAAATCTGTGTGCGTCAGTTGCCACGGGTTCCGCAGGTGAAGCTGCAGAAGGCCTTGGCCGACAAGTCCGAGACCGTGCGCATGCTGAAGCCTGGGGAGGCTGTCCAGGCGCGGTTCAGAGCTCAGGCTTAGCCACGGGTCCCTACGGAGGGTAGCCTTGGGTTGAAAGGGAGCCCTATTTGGAGACAATCCCATGTTTCCGTGTTCAGCCCCTTAACATCACCTTTTGGCCGCCTGTTCTTGGGGTCATGTTTAAGGGCGAAATTGGGAGCCCTGCATGACTTATGCATCAGGCTTCGATTGCCGTCTTCTGTCCAAATACAGTTTGGGCCATTTGTGTGAATAGGGTGTATAATCCCAATTATGGTCCATCCATCTCCCGGAAATCTACAAATGTATGCTAGTGGTTGGGTATGCCAACTGGTTGTTACTCACTCCAATCGCTCAGCTTCCCTCTAATTGCTGGTCTGGATGCGTGGTTTGGAGGTGTTCCACGAGAGCCAGGCGATCCATTCCAAACGAGCAATCCAAGCCAGCAACTCGAGGGTTACCTGAATCCCCGCGTGGTGGCACCGACGCCCCAATTTGCAGGTCACAGAGACGAAGGAGGAGGCGCAGCAGCCCTCCGTGCGCATCAAGGTCAAGACGAGCGATGGCCCGGCGCCCTGAAATGAGTCGATACTGCGAAACAAATCGCATGGGAACCTTCAAAAGGGCGATTTCTCTAAGTAAAACGGGGCGTGGGTTTGTTGAAGTTCCAGGTGAATCTGCAGGGTAAGCAAGGGACAACTTGGAAGGATGGTGCATCGTTCCACACAGCTTCACCTGTTTTGTTGTTTGGACAAGGGGCTGGAACAGATTATAGCCATGAGGGCTTGTCTCAAAAAGCGGACCCAATTGTAAGAAAGCGTTTCCCTTCAAAACAGCCCCAGAAAAGCTACCGGCCACAAATAACGCATGTAGCTTGAGGCTTCTTCTTTTTGTTTCAATATGGAAGCTTAGGATGTTTGGAACTTGCAGAAAGAGTTAGAGGATCGGCCGAGTCGTTTCTGTTTCCGAATGCAGGACTAGCGTGGATTCATGAACAGGTGATCTACTGGGAGTTGATACCCTTGCGGCCTTGCGGCAACTGTTGTTTCCTAGCTCTTAAGACCTCCCTCTTTAGAGAGTACGCGATCTGTGAAATAGTCGCAGGCGGAAGTTGTCCAGCTGTCTTGCAAAAGGGGCCAACGTGTGAGGTGGATTCTTTTTGAGGGCCCAATGGCATGTGTTAGAATATATACATGCATATATGTACATTTATACATATCATGTATACGTATATATATATATATATATATTATATATATATATATATATTACGTACTTACAAATACATATATGTGGTATATCCCAGTTTGTAGTCATGAAACACAAAGGTTTATTTTGTGTATCCCGCTCTTACGTTGATGTTGGATTCTCCATAAACGGCCCCGCCAAAGGACCATGTTTTGGCCTAAGAGGCTTCACCTTTTTGGTTTGTCCGCCATGGAAGGTCCCCCAATATCAGACAAGGAGATCGGACGTCCTTCAATTCGCAAAAACAATATGTGAAGATAAATGATGTTCTCGTCTTTAATGGCATGGAATGGGCCCTTTCAGAAGGTGGTTCGGTTCCTGTACTGTATAGTTTTGTTTGGGCTTGTAACGCTTTTGTGACAAGGGCGATGATCAATTGAGGACAAGGCTGATTTGGCAAGGAGTGCATGGCAGTGAATTTTGACCCCTACCGCTTGACCCAGGCTAGTAGCTGGAAGTCTTACAGTTTTTCTTCACAGGCTCTTGATTGTTTGCTTCCGTGTTGTTTGCACCTGCCTCCCTAAGAAAACAGTTCTTCAGCAGCGGGCCTTTTTCCGCATTTTCCTGTGCCAGCTGCTTTAGCGAAACATGACTAGTTACCCAAGGGCCATGGCTTCCTCAACAACAAGGCTTGCATCCAAAGCAGGACCAGGTGACCAGTTGGTTTCTCAGGGCGCCCCCGAGGCCTCTCCGGGTGGGTCACAGTGCAGCCCGGCCACGTCAAGCGCTGCCGGCAGAAAGTTCGGATCTTCAGACTCAAATGGTTAAGGAAAACGCATCCCCTTTAAGTGACTAGGCAAAGTATCTTCAGTCTAGCATGTGTTGCAGCTCACGTGCCCTCAAGTCATTTGTTGCAGGGGCCATCTTTGCTCTTCACCCAAACATATTTCCAAGTGAAGCACGCGCACCTCCAACGCAGTCATGGAACCGGAATGAGGCCTCCTGGAAGACGGTACTATGTCGGGCAGTGGTCAACTGCTAGCACTCAGCTAAGCAGCCCTGGATGATGAACTTGCACCGCAACTTATAACCAATGTGTGTGGTGTAATACTGGATGAAACAGGTTTGACAGATTTGTTTGGTGCATAATAAGTCAGGTTCATATACGAGTCAACGAGGACTTCCAACTTTTTCTTGAACAGTGAACTCGGTGAATATGTCACACCAGTATCATGCCAGGAGGTGGTCTAGCACCTACAAGTGCGTGGCTGCCACCAGCCTTGGCTCGGCTGCAAAGGCGGGGAAGGAGTTGCAATCACGGCGAGGGTTGTTTGAGTTCGGCACGAGGCAAATTGTGGCTGTCGGTTGTGGCATGGGACAAGAGGACACGCCAGACAAGTTGCCGAACTCCAGATCACAATCCCCAACCCTCAGGCTACTTTGAGGCAGGTTTGCCTTCATCATTTGGCAGCGTCGCATGGATTGGGGGGTTGAGCCCAGCTTACAACAATGATGCGACTAACTCCGCTGACAAGGATCCCTTGCTCATGTTTAGTTGGGAGCCAGCCGGAGCAATCAGTGCAAAAGAGACGCTTTTTAGGCAAAATATATATATATATATATATTCAGTTCACCCTGCAAGATTTATTCGTAGCTTGTGCAGACCCATTCGAGCCACACTGCCCAGGCCGAGGGCGCTGAAGTCGCCAGCAGCTTAGTGGGCTGGGAACACGTCACGGAGCAACCTTGCGGTGGCAGCTTTGTGCACGAATGCTTTCAGACAGTGAGATATGTGTTCCAACAAAGTGCTGTGAAGAGACAACTGAAGGTTATTTCGCTAGTCAATATGTTTATAACACCAAGACATTATTGCATATTATTGTTGGCTCAGCCCCTCATGTTCGATTCCCATCCCGCCTTTCGGCAAGACTCTATTCATATTGAAAGGATTGTCCAGTAGGTGAGGGCCTCGTTTCTGGGTAGCATCAGCTTGCCCTGGCACCAATGCCGGTGCCTTCAGGCTTTGTGAGAACGGCATTCGACGATGAACGGAACCGTTCTATTGAATTCTGTTGCTCAGGAGAATTGCTGTTTCCTTGTTCGCTCCCCCCTATGAAGGCAGAGCCTATTCGCAGTACTTGCCCCAACCGCCTCGTCCACCCAAAGCCCTTGAATTTAAAGAAGCGGAGTACATTTGCCGTTGAATGCCCTTTGGCCGCCATGGCGGCCCGCTTGTCCAGCATTCTGCTTTTTCCTATCTGCTTCTGCCAGCTGCTGCAGCCGGCGAAGGACACGGATTTTCATATGAAAAGCTTGTTTCTGCGTTCAGCTCTTTTTGTTTCGATGCCAAACAGAGTTTGTTCTCAGGAGCGCAAACCATGCTGAAAATTCCACCGCTGAGCATCACAACAGTCTCACAGGTCAAAGTCTCGAAGCTTCTGCAACTTCAGCAGCCATGACATGCATGCTGGATTTATCCTGTGCTTGTTTTTTGGTTCAGATTCAACATGTGTAAACCATATATGCGGTTCGATAAGTTGTTTTGTATTGTTTGTGTCTCCGAAATAGCTGGCCCCTCAAGATGTGTTTCCCTATGATCAGACTGGATCCTGAAACAAACCGAGGAACCACAAGAACATCTACGCAAGCAAACATTGGACGGAAGGAAGCCTGCTCACGGATTCCTTAGATCAGGCAACTGTCTCACTTGACAGGTTTACAGCGCGCAGAATGTGGTCGCCGGGGAACTGTAGCTATGTTGACCCCGACTAAACAAGCCCCCAATCCTCAATTTCAGGGGAGGTTCGCCTAGAAAGGGGGAAAAAGAAAAAACAACGAGCCAACAACGGCCAACATCCCCTCATTACTAAATTGTGGAGGGGCATCTCCACATCCCAAGATTTTCGTAGATCACCATATGGAGAGACCAGTGTACAACAGCAATTCGGAATGAGATGAGGTGCGGGAGATCGCGGCGAACGAAACGCTGGAACTGCTCGAAGGGCCTGTCGAAGAGGTGGGCCAATTGGGTTTGTCTCAAGAGCCACCCCCACAATGAGTGCCGTCCGGTTGGGTTTCCCTTGAAAACAGCTCAACAAAAAAGTACCCTTGCAACAGACCCTCCCAAGTAGATTCTCGGATTCTCGGCCAGCCTATGTGTCAGCATATGTGCCATATGTGCCAAGACACAAAACAAAAGGAAGTAAATGTTGTATGTTGAATGTTTGGGAACGTTTGGGATCGGAGTCGCCTCGGCTAGAAAGATCCGTTTGAGTTGGCAGTGGCTTTTCTTTCAAGGTGCCTGTCAATTGGTGGGGATCCGGCAGATTTAAGCTGACCTTTTGAGCTTGTGGCTTTCAACTGTCGACAAGTCACATCACCCCAACAAAGCAACTTGTGGCTTTCAACTGTCGACAAGTCACATCACCCCAACAAAGCAACCCTGTTTTTCAAGGTCTTCTGAACGACCTGACAGCATGTTACTGCATCTTCAGGTGCAGCTCGGGCCCTGCTCCTTAGGTTTTGTGTGCTAGAATCTTCGGAGTGGCTCCACTCCAAAACGTGCGTTTGTGATCTTGGCATGATTAGTTGGTTTGAGATCCCTCCCCCCCCCCTCCCCGCATGTGAATTAGAAGCGCTCTTAGCAAGTCAGGTGGAGAGTTTTAGCACACTGTTGGCTGACCGTGGGTTTGCAAAGCAGCTGACAAAGGGCTCGCATCGTGCCGGATAATTTTTTTAGAAACATTCCTGCGAGCACTGGTCTTCTCGATCAGGCTTTTAGCATGGGAAACCAGTAGCAGACACAGAGCAAACATTTGCTGACAAGCGATGATTGAAAACTGCGCTCATGACAGTGATCACTATTCAATATTATTTTGTACTATTCAAGTTCTGATGCAACATTCGCTACCCTTTGCATTCCTTTCGCATCCTATTGTTACTTTACTTGGACATTTTGCTCATGTGACAATGTGTGAGCGGGCATGTGTGTTCGCGTCAAATGTCTCGTCCAGAGTCCAGAACAATTCAAAATAAATACGTACAAACGCACAGGGCTCATCTGCTAGCTACAAAGAAATGGATTTTGAGGTACCCTTTTTGAGGTGGTTTAGAAGGGAGACGAAAGGGGAAACCAAATTGGTGTTGAGGTCCCCCTAATTGAGCACACACAGACAGTCACACACTATCCGTGCGTCAGCGTCTGCCGCGTGAGGAGTTTAAGGTGCCAGTTAAACATCATTTTGTAGTGACACCATTTCGAGGTGTGAACAGTCAGCGCTGAACATGCTTTCCAGATCTGCTGCATTTTGGAAGCACAAGTTGCGCTCAGCAGACTCTCTGTTCCATGATGGCTGGAACAAGGTTGCACTTAACATGTAGCCGGGGTTGATGTATGTGGGTTCAGTGTTCGTCGTTGCTTGAGAGGTCATACATATTCGCTTGCGCCCGTATCGAGTTTGTGAAGCCCAAACCTCATCATTCGTTTTGCTTCGTCAGCCAAGTTCTGCCGGTTGTGTTTGTTTGTTTGTTTGTTTCTTTGTTTGTTTGCTTGCTTGCTTGCTTGTTGTTTGTCCGGCCGGTTGACCGGTCGGTCGTTCGATATTTCGCTGGTTTCAGTTTATGTTTATTGTTTGTTCTTGTTTTGTTGATTTGTTTGATTGATGAACTAAACCGCAATTTGATCTGGTTTCCCAATGCTCCTTCCTTACGGGATGCAGTCAACCAGTTCCCCATCTTCTGTTGGCTTAGTTAAGGAAACGCCCGCCGTTTAGTTACTGTTGTTGGGTCAACCATTCAACGGGCTTGCTGCTGGCCGAGCATCGGCGCGTGACCCCAGGCAGGCGACCTGAGAATGAAGGCCAAGGCACGGTATCAAGCGGGCAGGACTATATGGGATGGTACCCCCTTTTTGGGTGTGATGTAAAGGGAAACCGAAGGGACACCACCCTTTTGCAGTTTTCCTATTTTGAGACACACCCATATATTCCATACATGGTTGTGGAACATTGCTGGGAATCCCTTTTAAAGTGAAAAAGTAGTCATAGGGATGGGAACAGCACATTGGTATCACAGAAACGGTGACTTTACACATTCTGGCTAAGACCATTTGTGTCTTCTTAATGTGTCCTTCTTGAAGGGCGCCAACATGATACACGCCATGTTGAGAGTGCCGCGGTTTCGACGCAGATTCAAAATGCCTTCATGTGCTCAGCTTACCATGCTGAAAGACATTGTGGCATTGGAGATGGACATTGTTCCTTGTGAATATGTTCGGCATCCCAAATGCGAATTGTGGTGGACAAGCTTGCGCTTAGCCCGCCTCCAAGGTCCTTATGGCCACTCACAGGAGAGGTTCAGAAGGCCTTGCAGTTGCACAGGGCCTCTTGTCAACTTCGTTATTGAAGGCAAGTTAAGGAGGGTACTATATAATGAAAACAGACAAATTGCCAAAATCCTTGCTTGACTCATGAGAACCCCAGCCTTGCCAAGTATCTCGAGGTTGATTCACAGAGAAAGTCTCAGAAACTACATTCAGAACATCCGCTGCCCTCCTTCAAGTAAAGGCCCCGATAGTGAGCAGGCTTGCGGTGCGTCACCGTTGCAGGTGTCGTGGTTAGTATGATGCCCCAGTTGCCCAGTGGCACCCTGGTGTTGTTTTTGTTGGTTTCGCTCTCAAACCAACCAGAAAGGCTGTCCGTTTTTCCCCTCTAGCCGCTGGTCCCGTACATTCTATTCTTGTTCACTGTAGCAGAAAAAAGCCACAATATATCGCGGGCCGCCTTGTTTTGTCGAGACCGAGCCGCCTTTGTTGCCCTCTGGACAGTGGTTTCCATTTCTTTAAAACGTTTCTGGTTAAACCTCCCCTTATTTTGGAAACCCGAACATGTTGAACTGTGTTGGCCATTCAATTCACCAAGTCTATGTTAGTGGTTCAAGTGATGGTCATCAACCTTCACAGGCGGATGCTCAGATAAACATTGCCAGGATCCTTATGAGCGAAACGGGGCCAATCTTGTCCTGATGTAGCAGGGTTGGCTGTTTAGCTTAACATGTCAATGTGGTTCTCATGTGCTCGCCATGTTTTTTTTCTTCGTGTGCTCGTCGTGGTGCCACACCATGGCCGGGGTAAAAATGGTGTTCCACGTGCAAACATTTGATAGCTGTCTATTACAAATACAATATGTATACTGTATACAACCATCATATATTACTCTTTCCCCGCGCCATGCGTCAGTTTCCCTGACGGTGTCAATCGGTTCGTCAGCGTTTGGTGCCAGCCTTTAAGGGACACGATGGACATTGCTCCACCGGATGGGTTCTTGAATAGACTAGATGCCCAGTCAAAGTGTCATCCAAGAAGGGGTGGCTGTTACCCTGGAAATGACATGGAACCCCGAAAAGGCTCGCCGAAAAGGAGTTGCCTCTAACTTACCAGCAACGCAATTGCTTTGGTACTTATATGAACTCAGTGCAAGGACTTCTCAGCGACTGCAAGTGGGTTGAGGCAGTGTCAAAGATTAGACCACATAGCAGCTCAACACAAAATGGGGAGACCACCAAAGCGGTTGCCACTAAAACTATCGACAAACCCATACTTCAATTTATGACAGGTGCCTTTCAACATCCTGCCAGGCCAAGAAGGACGGTGCCGAGGGGTGCACGCCTTAGTGGATTATGCTGGAGTCCAGCTCAGCCTGAGCTGTCAAGCATCAATCAGTCGATTCTTTAGTCTTCATTCTGTCGTTGAGCAGTGGTTGTTGGCCATGTCAGGCGTCAGGCCTGGTGCTTGAGCAGCGCCCAACAACTATTTGGCGTGGGAGTAGTAGAATAGTAGAACCCTTTCTGAGATGGCCAACAGCGGAGGTGGGCGCTGGTCACTGAAACTGTGAACATCAATGTCCGACCTTTTGGCTGCCAACTTGGTTGAAGCTTCCTTCGTGTGGGTTGATACTTGAATGAGGTACGTTGCAGGGGAGGCTGGATGGCTCTACCAGGAATCAGGTAGGGAGGTGTTTATGTTTAAGCAATTCGGGACCGCTTTAGCCAAGTGGTACCCAAGCAATCTGTTTCACCAAAGAGGCCTTTCGTTTTGCTTTGGCAAAGCTTGACCTAGCCAATTTGCAAGTCCCCCAACCTATCAAACTGGAGCTTCGACGGCCTGCGTTACGAAAGTATGCCATTTTCTGGCAGGAAGGATCTTTGGCAATGGTGGAGGTACAGCTAATACACCCCAAAGTTAAGGGGTGATCGCTTTCAGGGCGAATTCGCTATCAACATATCCCATGGCTCGCGGCCGGTAGGGACTGTCTCTTTTTGAAAGCCATGATCAAAAAGCTATCTTCGACCATGGCTCATTTAAGACAACCTGGCGAAACAAAATACCAATCCTTTGGCGGGCACTAAGAATGTTGTCCGTAGATGAGAAGATCCAGCACGGAAGGTAAGGCGTGCAAGGGTTCTCGCCGCTTTTGCCTAGCTCTTGCACTGGTGGCGTTTTATATCTGCAAGCACTGCCACTGTACGACATGTAGCGCTACTGTAATTGAAGGCTTTGTGTTTCTTTTAAGCGCAGTTTCCAGAAACAATCCAGCAAACGCAAGAGCAATGCCTTTCATCCGAGTTTTCTTGAGAGGAAGCGCTATTGCCACTGTTTTTTTGTTAAGCAGCCACTCCTCGAGTGCAACACCCTGCGGCCGACAAGGCAAACAGTGAGGTTTTTCGAAGACTGACGAATCTTGCCAGCAACGAAAACGTTGAACACAAGCCAGCCACCTATGTGCACATCCCAGTACAACAAGTTTGTTGACAATCAAAGAGACCATAAGCAGATGAGGCGCAGAATGAGGCGTGCACAAGGAAAAACAGACACAGACATGCGGTCCTTTCCCGACGTTCTCTTCGTGTGAGCAGCGCCATGCTCCATGGCCTTTGTCTGCTCTGGAGCCTGGGCCAAAGCGCTGCCTACCAGGCAGTGGGTGGGTGGGTGGTTGGGGTGGGTAGGTGGGGGTTCTTGGGGACCCGATGGTGGAGGAGTTGATGGAGTTGGGTTTGTCCAGATTCGCCTCTGGGGTCCCGAATGCTGTATGCCTCATTATCGCACAAGCTATGAAGGATTGAAGAACCCTTCACGCTTGTGGGTAAAGCCCACTGCGCTGACATCTCTAGGTTGCATGCGCATGTTTTGAGGTACAGGTGGTGAAGGCCCATTTCCGCCAAGCTCACACATCGGATTCCGAGTGTCAATCTACTGCCTTCCCAGCCCTTAAGTTCCCGTTGTTCACAGGAGGCATCAAGCCAGAACTGGCCTGCTTCTTCGGGATTCCGAGGTTTGCACTTTGTTTTTTCCCTCCCGGGAGACTGCCAACCCCCTGAATGAAACATGCATGAGGTTGCTTTATTCTGTCTGTATTTTTCTTGGATCACGCCAGAAGCGCGTGGTTCCTCCCACTTGAATTGTGTTGGAAACAGCTACTGTTGGAAAGGTCTGTGATGATTTGTTTGGGGGTTGGCAGGTCTCCTCTGATACGACAGCTTCGATGCATCGGGAAGGTGCGCCCGAGAGTTTTTGGCATGTTGGGTTCCTCAAATATTGGACCCCTAGGAACGGTAGCTTTCCTTTCGCGTTTCTAAGAGGGTTTCCACTGCCCCAAGCAGCAACCGGCCGGCTATGTGGGGTACTGCATGAGGGTTCAGAAGGCTGGTGCAACCTCTTAGTTAGAGCTCCATTTGAACAGCGCTCCATAACCCCCATATGCAGGTTTCAGATGTCAAATTAACTTGTGGCTTGTGGATTGTGATCTGATGCCCAAAGCATTGGCCGAAATGTTCCGATTTCCGAAAGACTGTACTTTGCAATGCCTATCAAAACACTGATTCGTAGAAGCACTGTTTAGTGAATTGGATAAGGTACGCAAAGGCGCCAGATGTGGTGTCATCGTGGTAATACTTGTCTTTGAACGTGTAGATGCACCTGCTTCTTTGCTTTGAGCGCATCCTGGTGGACAGGGGTCCTGAGACACCCGCAGTCCCACAGTGATGTGTACTTCCAGGCCCTTTTCATTTCATGCTCCAAAGGAGGAATATGCGTTCTTTCGCTTCCTATCTTTGCCCGTATGTTGTGGACTTGTCGAAAGTGCATGGTCCCATGTTAATAATTCTTTCGATCATCCCTGCATTGGACCAGGACCTTGCATTGTGTCGAGACTACACGTTGTCAGTCACCTCGTTCAAATGCCCAGCAATCTCTTTCAACGTGTAGTTGTCCTTATATTGTACACCTGACTGTCAGGCTCCGGTTTCCCCTTTTTCCCTCGCAAGGATCCTTCCTTCCTGGCATTTACCTTCAAGTACGGGAAGTAAGGCTAGCCCGATCCTAAAAACAAGAATGACACAGTAAAAATCCTTGGTGGACCTCTTGGAGTTGAAAGAGGGTTTTTCCCCTGGAGGTCTTCGGCGAGGATCAGGTGCTGCGGCCGCTTGAGGCGGGGTCAAGCTGTAGGCGCAGAAGGGATGCACCAACTACTGGTTGATGATGCAAAGTGGATTTTGCCCATCCACAGTTGCCGTGTCTTCAAGAGGGGGCTTTGAACATGTTTCTGGGCGAGTTGCAGTGACCTGACAAAGGGGTTTGCCACCTCATGAAGGTTCCCTCTGGATTGTTTACTTCAGCTCGGCATTCGCCCGACCCAGGTGTCGTGGTACCTGCGCGAGCGCAGTGCCCGGCGGAAGGTTCGACTGCAGAAGGACCGAACGCGCCGAGGGACCGGGAATTTACCGAAGGCTCTACATACCGACATGAAGAGAGCAATGGCAGTTTCAAATTTCAGCACACCAACTGTCATAAAAAATGGACACAAGAGAGGCGATTCCACTAGTTCCATGTTCCCTTTCGCGGAGAAGGCCGACAAAAATGGAACCCTCAAACATCCTCCACTTGAGGTAGGGGCGATATGGCTACTGTGGCTACTTTCAAACCAGGGTTTGCCTTCTTCTATCTCTTGCGTTGAGAAAAAAACGTAACTCGAAACCATTATTGTTAGATTTCTCCCTTGCGGAGGCAAACATCTTCATTTTGCAACTAGACATGAAACGAAATTGAAGTGGTTTTCCGCCCAAGCGCAGCTCCGCAGTTCTGTGCAAAGTACGGCCCTGTTGTGGGACCTTGGTGTCACCAAACAAGGGTTCCCATTATAAAGCCACCAAAACCGAGGCAACATCAAGACCAACAAAACATGCTCAAGCCAGCTCGCCTGGCTGTTGCTCGTTTGCCTGGCTCTCCATTCCCGCAGGAGCTTGACACGCTGCTGCAGAGCTATGGTTGCGCCTCCCTGGCATCCCAAAGAGCCCCGGATCGGTGTTGCGACATATTGGTGGCGATGGTTGCATGGGTGTTTGGGGGGCTTCGGAGCTGGATTTCGAGTTTGAGTTTTGCAGGGCTCACGGATGGGTTCGCGGTTCAGGAGCAAGGCGGTTCAGGAGCAAGGCATATCCGTGCTTGCCTAGGAACACAAACGAGCGAACGGGCGGGTTTTAAGCACAAAGTCTCTCCCTTCGAGAGTTCCACAATTGACACGGAAAGGCGATTGTTGGTTAGACCTTGTTTTTTACAATTGGCCATTCCTCATTTGAGACTGATTCATTGAGATAATTGAACGGTATCCACTTGCTGCATGCATGATGACTGGTTTGTTGATGGCGTCAGAGGGAGTCACTCCAAGATGACCTTCATGCACGGCTGATCAAGCAGGCCCTGCACAAACTCAACTGGGGCAAATCGGCGCTAAGGTTGAATCAAGCGCACTCAACTCCAAAAGGGGCATCTTGGACTGCTCACGTGGGCAGGACTGGATGCCGTCATCGAGCCCGTCCTTGCGCAGGCGCGGGAGGAGTTTCGCGACCGGCTGAGCAGCCAGGATGACTGGGCCTTGCGCGGGTTCGGCTGCGGCTGGGTGTTTCCCAGATCCGCAGAGACACTCGGTGCATTAAGACTCAAGAGGGGCCTCTATGGGGTTCAGGCTAGATTTGACCCTCGACCAATCTGGCTTTGTCAAATAGAACAGCTAGGCAGTATCAGGTTTGTTCTACACCATGCCTTTCTGCGTTGCTGCCCGGCTTTTCACTCCATCCTCCGAGCTTCAGACATTCGGGCCTCAGATAGGTTATCATTCTTCAACTCCATTCAGGGCCTTAGGTCCTGGCAGCGACCAGCGCTGAGGATGTACAGCCATCCGCACTACTTGGCCTTTATCCGGGAGGATGGGTCCACGGACCCCCACCAGCTGCCCTTCAAGCTGACGCTCGCTTGCGCTAGCTTGTTGTCGCTTGTGTTGCTTAGCATTGAAAAGGAGTGCCCAAACATGACCAAACTTTGGGCCCACACGATTTGTAGGGGATCCCGGGATCCCCAATGCGCGCTACGAAACATCATGCTGAAGGCGTGGATAAAAGTTGAGTGCCTAAATCTTGCATGCGCATGGTCCCGCATTGGGTCGGAAACATAGGCTCTAGCAGTGGATTTGGAGTGGATCCAAACCAGTTCTTTTTAGAGTCTATATTGCACATATGTTTGGTCCCCGTAAAAGGAGTTGTTTTTTTTTGGTTGCAGGCATGCCAAGCTTGTGCCCCAAACGCTGGTAAACTCACCGTGGTCCAGGCT